TAATTAGGAAGAAAACGAAATCCTAGTTAGTTGTGATGATATGTAATAAATTGATTTACTAAAACACAATTCTTCAAAAATAGCTTTTGTTGCAGTTTCCTTCAGGTATTTCCTATTTAGATGGACAATCGACGATATTTCCTTTTCTAGGCATGTCCGATGTACAACGGTACCCTTAACACCTTTTTCTAAGCAAAACAATCAATCAGTGATATTTATCTGAAAAATATATTTGTTCATTGTTACCCATAAAGGCATAAGTCGAATTGAGGGACGAATCTTAAAGACTTTATTTTTTTAAAAAGTCAATCTTATAATTTAATACATTCGAATGTTTAACCCTATTCCTGCTGGGGGGGGGGGGTCAAGTTGACCCCCCCCTGTAGTTTTTTTACATAACTCAAAAAGTATTGGTCTGAGGCTGTTGAAATTTTCTGACTTTTCCTACATACCCAAAGCCCTCCCTTTAGGCCTAAAACCGGGCTTTAATACTAACTGCCTGAGTCCTCAGGCACACTGCCTGAATGACTGCTTTTTCCTGTAACAAACTAAATCTTTGTTTTGACCCACTTTCACTTGTCATATTTTGATAAAATTTAGCTTTTTGGAAAGCCTATGGCATAAGGAAACAGATTGCACAAGTTTTGCGAAAAAAAATTGCAAATTTTTTGCAAACAACCTGTCAAAGGAAATTTGCACATTTTTAGTTTTTCTTGATTAAAAATCAGGTTATTTAAAATTTTGCAAAAATTTTTGCATATTTGAAATGGCATGGTCAAGGGCTTTTCAAAAATGTATAATTTTTCATTTTTTGGACAAATTTTTTTTTGCAAACATTTTTTCTATATAACTAGATTTTGCGATAAAAAATTCAATTTTTGCAAATTTGCAATTTTTTTGCAGATTCTAAAAGTAGAGCACAATAGCTTTCCAATGATGTATCATTTGTCATATTTGGACATCAAACATGGGATTTAGAGGGGGGGGGGGTCAAATTGACCCCCCCCAGCATATCCTGGTTTTCAAGTACCCCAGCAGGGATAGGGTTAAGTGTTTGGTAAACAATGTGCTGTTCATCTAACCCAGCTGTTGTTCATTATAGGTGCATTTTTTTATTTCTAGCATTCTCCCATCGTTAGTGGGCCGAGAGCTGCAACTATGATAGGCTATGTAGAGGACCGAGAGCTGCAACTATGATAGGCTATGGAGGGGGCCGAGAGCTGCAACTATGATAGGCTATGTAGGGGGCCGAGAGCTGCAACTATGATAGGCTATGTAGGGGGCCGAGAGCTGCAACTATGATAGGCTATGTAGGGGGCCGAGCACTGCGGCAAAAATATGTTATTGGGACAAGCACTTTAAAAAAGAACATTTCTGGAGTTTGTACTTTTGTACGTTCGTATCTTTAAAAGTTTGTCTTTTTGCGTTGAATTTCAAGAATTTATATTTCAGAAGTTAGTATTTCAGGAGTTTGTATTTCAGGAGTTTGTATTTCAGGAGTTTTTATTTCAATAATTTATATTTCAGTAGTTTGTTTATCAAGAATTTGCTTTTTAGGAGATTATATTTTAGAATTTTGTATTTTTGGAGTTTATATTTACTCAGTTCGTATTTACAAAGTTTGCATTTCAGGAATTTATATTTCAGAAGTTAGTATTTCAGGAGTTTGTATTTCAGGAGTTTTTATTTCAATAATTTCTATTTCAGTAGTTTGTTTATTAAGAATTTGCGTTTTAGGAGGTTATATTTTAGAATTTCGTATTTTTGGAGTTTGTATTTACTCAGTTCGTATTTACAAAGTTTGTGTCTCAGGAATTTGCTTGGCGCTTTTTTACATGGAAACCAGAATATGTACTTCATACAATGAAGTTTGATGTAAATAAATCTAACGTTATTGAGATAATTTGCCAAATTCTTTGCAAACATGAAAGATAATTTCTGAGGTCTTTCAAGCTACCTCCTGTTTGTACAACACTACATATTTCTACACTTTAATTTCTACATATTTGACGGCACTTTAATTTCAGTAATAAAAATACCAATTTATTAGTCACCTCTCTCATTCTCTCACACACAAAAATTGATCGGAATTCTACAAAGTATATTTTAACAAGGTGACAAGTCCTGAATAAAACTGAATATATTCAAATAGAAACCAAGAGAATAGGATTATTAATATTCTAATCTCAGATTATTATAATATTTAGGGAACATTGATTCTATTGTTGTCTTATTACATATAAACTAATAAATTAATTAAACTAATCTAAACTTGATAAATACATTAACTAAGAATATATAAACAAACTCCTTCCAAAGTAGAGAATATATGAACTGAGAAACATGAGTATAGAAATAAACACTTTTGGAAGTTAAAATGTAAGTTATTGCATCATACAACAAAACAAATTTAAATATGTCTAAAAAATTCAACAAATAGATGTTGTTTGTTGTAAGCATGTTGTATCTTTCAACAAATAGATGTTGTTTGTTGTAAGCATGTTGTAACTTTCAACAAATAGATGTTGTTTGTTGTATGCAAGTTGTATCTTTCAACAAATGGATGTTGTATGTTAAAACTGTTATAATTTGCATTTTAACCTCTAAAAGTTTAATCTGTGGAAGACAAAAACTATAAAATATTTTAGAATTCTACAAAGATTTTAAGTGAGATTCATCACACAAGAGAAGTACAAGAGAAAAAATAAATAATCGTATTTTAAACTGCAAGGTATTTTTATTTCTTTAAACGTCGGCTGCAATTTGCATTATGTTTCCGAATAGGATAGTTTCGATAAATGTGAAAAAATTAAATGCATCAGTGATTTTCGTGTTTAAATTTTTCTTTTGATTTTAAAGTCAATTAGAGTGAAAGTAACTTTTCAAATCGGAACTATATGGTCTATAAACCATGATATTTTACTTTTAAAAAATTAGATATTCTTTCAAAAACACAAATGAACTTGATGAATTTTTAATATTTTTAATTAAAAAATAACAATATAGAGGATTTACCCACAAAGGATGAACCATTGAAAATTCTTTAAATTCCTTGTTTTAATGGATAAATTCTATATCTTCTGCATACATTCAGTATTATCATATAAATCTATGCATACAGGGTGTCCCAAATAATACGGGAATCGAGTAACGACGTATATTTCATCTTTAATCCAAGCGGCATCCAAGCGGGTAATATGAAAACAAAAACCAACTGAATATATCTTGGTATTTGGATTTCAAAATGTGGCCTGTCATTTGTTTGCCTTTAATGTTGACATTTCCGCATAATTTTATCAAAAAGTGTACCTACACATATTTAAAAATCAAATACGATCTCAATGTTTTGTCTTATAATTCCCATACTTATTGGGACACCCTGTATGGTGTGACAAAGAATTGATGTAATGATGAACGTTAAATTGGAGATATAAGTAGTTTATGTAATATCGTCTCTATAGGTTCAAACTAAGGTTGAAAACTTAAAATGACATATTTCCACCAGGATTGGATTCATATTCAAGAAATCTAACCTTACATCATAACTAAGAGAATATAGATAAACAAGATTCGTTGAATAAAGCTCTTGCAGTTCCAGTACAGTACATAAATAAGATATATCTACATGTACTATATAGAAAATAATAAGCAAATATAGACAAGTACAATAGGTGGCAATAGAGAAATGGACCAATTATAGATGACGTCACAAGTGTCAAATAAAACAAGGAAGACAACTTTTCTCTGATTTGTTTTCCAAGATTGAATAAATAAAGTGTAAAAACAGAAAATAAAGATCACAAAACTGCACTTATTTTACTGTAAGATAAGCACTTTATTATCAATATTATTAATAATTTTGTCGGACACATAAAGCTATTGACACTTGTGACGTAAGAATACAGCTTTACTGAGAGTGTACAAATTTTACGTTGCCATCTATTGTACTTGATAATCTATTTAGTAATAAGTATTAAGCCTCTAAATATTGTAAATAACCCTGTTTTTCTGGAAGCGGAGAGTAGGTGGGGGGGGGGCACAATAATAAAAAATATTTTAAAATGATCAGATTAATTAATTACGTGTCTTCTGTAAATTTATAACTAAAATCTAAATAGCTAGTTAGGTAACGATTGTACTTGACATTGAAAATGTCGTCTTTGTCTTTATTTTAACCCACTAGCGGCTGCGGTGACTTATACGTCCCCTATAAATTATTTTACATAAAACTCATCTATTTTCCTCAATTTTGAGTTTATCTCCGCGGGAGTCATTTTATGATACAGTAAACAATATGGGACACACATGTGTACAGTTAAACGGTTCTACCTACTCATCTTCCAAATTATTTAACCGTGTAAAGTTGAGGTGTGAACAATTAAACTAAATTTATGGAAAACAAAAAACAGCAGCCTTTAAGGTATGGTAAATTTTTTAGTAGAAAACTATTTTAAAATGTTTTAAAAAAGTTTTTCAATTTATTATTAATTATTCTTTGAAATTATCTCTTTTTAAAAATTTTTCTGTCATTATTTTAGAAATAAGAACTACATTTTTCCATACATAAATAAATTGGCCTTATAGGGCACCTCAGTTGTCACAGGGTGGGTATACAGTTTTATGATATGTGAGTTTAGAGTAAATACAACAGTCGACAAAAATCAAAGTACNAAACTATTTTTTTTGCATTATTGTTTTTTAGTAATGTTTGAAAATAAAGAGTAAACGTATTGTTGGGTAAATAATAGTTCCTATGGCCATTTATATAACATTTTAGTTAATTAATTTTGCCTTTCTCATAAATTTAGGAAAAATTCTGTAAACCCGCCCTGCAGCAACTGTGGTGACTTATAAGGCCACTCTTAAAATCCCTAAAAAAACACCTTTAAAATTTTTTTTTTGCATTTTTTACTTTTTTTCCTTGATCTAACCAATAATAAGTATTCTTAATCAAATTTTCAAAGAAAAATATATAAAAAAATTCTTCAGCCGCTAGTGGGTTAAAGAGTACCCGGAGTTAGGGTTTTATAGAGTACCCGGAGCAAGGGTTCTAGAGAGTACCCGGAGTTAAGGGTCTAGAGATTACTCGGAGTATGAGTTCTAGAGATTACCCAGAGTAAGGGTTCTAGAGAGTACCCGGAGCAAGATAATCACTGATATTTTCCCATTCTCTGAATGGTGAATCCAGGTTTAGCTGCTCTCTCCTCCTCTATATCTGGAGGAGTGTCTACTATAGCTGTTACTAGGAGCTCCTGGAAATCTTCTAATGCTCTGATAAGCAGGTAATATTGCCTAGATATTGTTACAATTAATGTTTTATATTATCTATTTATTATGTAGAACTATTAAAATTGGCAAACAGGCAAGACATTTCAGATTTGAAAATTCAAGAAAGAATTAAGTTTACTTTTTGGGCTTACATTTTGCACCCCCAAAGTTCCTCCATTGCTACAACATTTAAATTGCTTAATTTGTCGTCTAAAGTCTAACTTCCTGTATCTTTCTTGATATTTAATTAAAATTGTTCTTATTATTATTATTATTATTATTATTATTATTATTATAATTATTATTGTTATTATTATTATTATTATTATCATTATACTTAATTACCCTGGAATAGGTCTTTCTATTCTTATATCTCTACTGTATAGCTTCTCTCCATTATAACTGTCTGCAGCAGTCACCTAGAAATCAGGATTTAAATTTTAGTTTTAAATAGATAATATAGATAACATTAAAATTTCATTAGAAACAGTTTTGCGCTCATCTTTAAAAACTTTTAAAGTACAGGGTTACTCATAAACAATGAGACTTCAAATGACAACCTCAAAACTCATAAAAGAATCCGCAAAATCTAATTATCTAAATCTTTGGACCTTGATGTCGTAAACCTTTAATATTTGACATTTCGCATTTTGCTAGATCCAAAAGCCAAAGTTTAAAATATCTGTGCTTTACACCATCAGGTTGTTAAAAAAATTTAGAGATGATAGAATTACAGCTTCATGCTTTTTTTACGAACAACTTCAGATTTTTACTTAGCTGTAAGTTTAACCGTCCTGACGCCATGTTTCTAAGTGATACCAGCATAAACATATTCTTTAGGATTGGGGATACCAGAATAAACATATTCTTTAGGATTGGGGATACCAGCATAAACATATTCTTTAGGATTGGGGATACCAGCATAAACATATTCTTTAGGATTGGGAATACCAGCATAAACATATTCTTTAGGATTGGGGATACCAGCATAAACATATTCTTTAGGATTGGGGATCGGAAAGCCGGAAGAGGGGGGGGGGCTGGGGAGGATGTTAATGGCGACAATCGGAAGTAAAGGGGTGGGAGAAGGAGGTGCTGTGATTTATGGAATGTAACATTTTATTTCGAGATATTCAGACATAGTACTAGGGCCTCCAATATGATGATAAATTAGTTATTCCTATTTAGTCTATTAAAGTTACGTTCTTTATAACTATGAAAGAAAGAGTGGGGGGGGGGCCGAAATGATAAATTTTTAAATGATATATATGTAGTACAATTACATTAAGTGTTCATCCTTTTCAGTCAAATAAGATAATGTTGAATATACAGGAATTGAGTCCGTGCCACAAACTCTATTTTTCTAATCTCTATTGGCCAATTTCTTAAACGCTCTACCATAGGTAGAACAATAGTCACACTATGGTTACGCCGTACCAGAGCAGTGTAGATAGATAGATACGAACTATAGTTGTACCTATGGTTAAATGAATAAGAAATTTGCCATATATGTAATGAATATAACAGCTAATGGTTGAAACCATTAATATTTGTAACAAAGATTATTTGACCTAACATAATTCATAGTTTAAAATGTATGTAAAACGACATTCGGTTGCAATGATGGATGTATTCATTAGAATAAATACTAGATTTTGCCCTCAAATTTTTAAATTCATCCATCCTAGAGCATGGTGGGAGGTGGAGGGGAAGGTAGGAATGAAAGGGGAGAAATAAGATTTGAAGCTTCAAATAAGAATTCAGTTTGAGTGTCTAGAAAAGTTTAATTTGCATACACCAGTATTACAATGTCGATTTAAAATATTGGAAACAGTTTGGAATCCATCATTTTGAAACAGTTGGGAACCATAATTTAGAAAAGTTGGGATTTTTTATAAGCTTTTTATAAGTTTTGTAATCTTGTCTAACTTTGCTCTTTAATGTTGGCTAACTGTGCTTCAATGCTCTGTAATCTTGTCAACCTTTGATCTACAATCTTGTATACCTATGCTCTGCAATCTTGTCAACCTTAGCTCTGTAATCTTGTCAACCTTTGATCTATAATCTTTTCTACCCATGCTGTACAATCTTGTCTACCTATGCTCTATAATCTTGTCTACCTATGCTCTATAATCTTGTCTACCCATGCTCTACAACCTTGTCTACCTATGCTCTATAATCTATAACTATGCTCTATAATCCTGTCTACCTGTGCTCTATAATCTTATCTACCTGAGCTCTATAACCCTGTCTACATGTGCTGCATAATCTTATCTACCTATGCTCTATATTCCTGTCTACCTGTGCTCTATAATCGTATTTAGCTACTGTAGGTGGGGATCCATATTTAAGATACATCTCATATTTTTGTGGGGCACCCTGTAGTACACCAGCTACTGCTACGTTTCCTAAATACATTTTGGAAAAATTTAAAATTCTTTTTTTCTACAATTGTATTTCAAACAATTCCGAATTTAAAACGAAAGTAAAATACGCTATAAAAAAATATAAACTTACTTTTAAAGGGTCTTTAGACATAATTTTACATTTGGGAATATACATTTATGGACATATGTCCTTTTAGAAAACTGTCAACTGAAATGTTATATTTATCCTTCTTCTATTCATATATCTTTGCAAAAATTTGAAGTAATGATCGTAAATGAACTCAAACTTTAGATAATTTAAACGTTTTAAAAGTTTCAAAAGTTTTCCGCATATCATAGAGTAATCTCGTCTTGGTAGAATTAATCCATTACTTTGATTGAAATCTAATTTTTGAATTTTAATCTGAAAACCCAGTTAAAGAACAAAAAGATGAATAAAAGAAAAACTATTGGACTAATAACAACAATATGTATTGACAAATAAACTGAGTTTAGACCACAAGCACAAATTTTTTTGATCAACTCATCTTTGAAACCTGGTTTCTAGTTCATAGTGTAAAATATCAAATAGATTAAAAAAAGTAAATATTGAGCCATCCAAAAATATAACAGTATGTATAAAAGATAATTGAAATCATATTCCTTAGTTATGTTCCAATCAATAAATGAATCTGAAAACATGAAATAAAATAAATAAATTTATATAAAACTAGCTCAAGTGCCAGGCGTTACCCGTGGAATTTTAGAAACACTTGAAAAAATTATAATTTTGAAAAAAATAATTTTAAAATCGATTATTAACAAAAATAATAATTTTTTAGCCAATGCTACCTCCATGAATGATATGACTAAAGTATAATAAAAAATATTTAAACATTTTACCTGATAGAGCAGCATAGTTAGCGTTAGAGTCCTCCACCGTAAACCTGAAAAGATACCGATTTTCTAACAATTCTAATTTTTTCAAAACATTTCTAACTTTTTCTAATTACCAGTCTCAGTTAGAATATTTTAAATATTTTCAGGACTCTCTACAGTAATACGTAAGTAAGCCATTTCTTCTTCCAAAAAAAGAGGTTGTGGAAATATTTCCCCCAATTCTAAAACAAGTTTAAGGCAAGTGTTTATTTCATTTTTAAATGTTTTGGAATCTTTGTAAAATTTGTTTTCCCTAAATTGTAAAGTTTAGGATTACTAAGAAAGATAAAAATTAATAAACTCTAAACTTACAGGAAGAGTTTATGTTCTCCTTTCTTAGCTTGGATACCATGAGTTGCTGTGAACCTTTGTCCGGGAACATTTATCATTGGTACTTCGACAATCATATCCTATAGGAGCATACTGATAGTTATTAAAATATTTAGATTATACAATCATATCCTATAGGAGCATACTGATAGTTATTAGAATATGTAGATTATACAATCATATCCTATAGGAGCATACTAATAGTTATTAGAATATATAGATTATACAATCATATCCTATAGGAGCATACTGATAGTTATTAGAAAATATAGATTATACAATCATATCCTATAGAAGCATACTGATAGTTATTAGAATATATAGATTATACAATCATATCCTATAGGAGCATACTGATAGTTATTAGAATATAAATATTATACAATCATATCCTATAGGAGCATACTGATAGTTATTAGAAAATGCAGATACTACAATCATATCCTAGGAACATATTAAAAGTTATTAGAACAGGCAGCTTCTACATATCATATCATATCCAAGACACCAGAAACTATGGAGTTTTGCGTTAGAGCTTTCAACCTTAAGATCATTGTAACCCATGCACCTCTGCCCCTTTAGTAAAAGTAAATTGAACCTATATGAAGCATAAAGTCTGACCGCATCAACCTTGTTGCACCGGCTAGTACTGTCCAGTGTCCATAGAGCTTGGTACGGTACAAACTGGATGCGAAAAGGTTGACCCGGCTAGGAAATTCAAATGTCCTCTGACTGCTTGTGAACCCATCACATTTAACCAAGTTATGTCACGTGACACCTCATTTTTTTTCGAAGAAAGGGAATATGGATTTAAATAGAATTCTTCTTACCGTCGCTGCTTTTCCTAATCTCCTGGCAAACCCTTGCATTGGTGGTAGCAAGCTTAGGCATCCCTCACTTGGACTCAGTAATCCTGAAATAATCAGGATTAGTAGGAACCGATGAACTCCTGAAATAATCAGGATTAAAAGGAACCGATGAACTCCTGAAATAATTAGGATTAATAGGAACCGATTAACTCCTGAAATATTCAGGATTAATAGGAACCGATGAACTCCTGAAATAATCAGGATTAATAGGAACCGATTAACTCTTGAAATAATAAGGATTAATAGGAACCGATTAACTCCTGAAATAATCAGGATTATTAGGAACCGATTAACTCCTGAAATATTCAGGATTAATAGGAACCGTTTAACTACTGAAATATTCAGGATTATTAGGAACCGATTAACTTCTGAAATAAACAGGAATAATAGGAACCGATTAACTACTGAAATATTCAGGATTATTAGGAACCCATTAACTTCTGAAATAAACAGGATTAATAGGAACCGATTAACTACTGATATAATCAGGATTAATAGGAACCGATTAACTTTTGAAATAATCAGGATTAATAGGAACCGATTAACTCCTGAAATAATCAGGATTATTAGGAACCCATTAACTTTTGAAATAATCAGGATTAATAGGAACCGATTAACTACTGATATAATCAGGATTAATAGGAACCGATTAACTTTTGAAATAATCAGGATTAATAGGAACCCCTTAACTTCTGAAATAATCCGGATTAGTAGGAACCCATTAACAATTTTCTCCTTATAGACGCAACAGATAGAAAGAAGTAAGATAAGTAGCGATCAAAAGCGATTATTTTTCGCCGTAAGCCTAAGCCTTTCATTTTTTCACGAGCACTCCCTTTAATAATCCCTGACATTATGAGTATAAGAGTAAACAAACTAAATAACTGGATTTTGTAAACTTTAAAGTTTTGTTCAATTTTGCAGATTTTTTTTGCAGATTCTTAAAAAATTTTCAGAGATTTCCAAAATTTTGCTTGCACATAAAAAGAAGAGATAAAAAAAGAAAATAAGAATTCTAAAAGTAAATATAAGTGATCTGAAAGATCATTGAAGTATTAAATATTCCGTTTTGTTTGGCCGAGAACAAGATCTTACCAAGATTTTACTAGACAATGACAGTTTTAAAATAAGATGAAAAAGTATTTTTTGTTTCTCGCTGCTATCATTCAGATCATGTACAAATATTTAATATAATGTATGTACAGACTTGTGTACAGACTGACAACATTTTAATCTGCTAATTATATTTTGCAGTAGGAAATAATAAGATATTATAATTTATTGATACATTTCTATGTTTCATTTATTTTCTTTAAAATATATATTTAACTAAATTGTTGAAATATCTCTGAAAACTATTTGGATGAAATAACCACTGTCCCATTGTTTAATTAATTAGGGTTTTTTTTAAAGAAAATTGCGTATTTTTTCTTTTTTGTTCTTTAAAAAAATGTATAAATACACATTTCATTTCATTTGTTGATTGACCCAGGTGTAAAGAATTGTTTGTGTGAAACAACACTTATTGTATATTTTTCTACCCGCCCCCCCCCCCCTAGAACTTAGTTTCGTAGGGTTGAGAAAAACAACCCGAACATTTGCTGACTACACACAATCAAACGTTTATACGGCTCAAGAAACAGGGAAATGATGAAAACCTTCATCACAACCTTTCAAATCAAAACAGAAAAAAGTTTGAAAAAAATTAATTGAAAAAGTAAAAGTTGAAACGGTTTAAAATATATATTTAAAATTACTTTAAACAAAGTTGCAAACTATCCTGTTTTCAATTAAAGACCATTTTCCCGATAAATGCGCAACAATAGTGAAGGTAAAAGGGAAATAAAAAAAGAAAATGAACTCTTTATTAATCTAGTTTAGAAATATTAAATATATCTATATATAATATCTAGAGTTAGAAATATCAAATAAATATCTCTGTAATATCTAAAGCTTAGAAATATCAAATAAATATCTCTGTAATATCTAAAGCTTAGAAATATTAAATATATATCTATATATAATATCTAGAGTTCAAAAATATTAAACACATATCTCTACAATACCTAGAGCTTAGAAATATCAAATATATCTCAATGATATCTAGAGTTAGAAATATCATATCAAATATATATCTCTATAATATCTGGCGCTTAGAAATATCGTATTAAATGTATATCTATAATATCTATAGAGTTTAGAAATGTCAAATATATCTCTATAATATCTAGAGTTTAGAAATTTCAAATATATCTCTATAATATCTAGAGTTTAGAAATGTCAAATATATCCATATAATATCAAGAGTTTATAATTATTGTAAAAAATGTCTGACCTGTCATGAGTACAGGGACAAGATATTTCCACATTTTCTTAATGATTTGTCTGAAATACATTTTACTTAAAGCAACGTAATTTCATGTGGTACTCCATTAAACCGTGCATGTACGACTTTTCTCAGATCAAAAGGAATAAAGATATCCATGTTTTTGTAAATATAGAAAATTGCTTGCGAATTCCGTTGGTTACTTTTTTTAAACTTTTTTAACGAGAATTCATTTCAAATTTTTTTTATGATTTGTCTAAAAATTATTTCACAAAAGGCTTTTTGTTAAAATTTTTTTTTTATATTGCATACTTTGAATAATATTAAGGAACCTATTTTATTTTTCAAGTTTACAAATAATCTATAATTTTTATTTCTGAAAGTTGTTAGTCCATCGCCGAAAAATACTAATAATTAGTCACCAGTTACATTAAATGTAATGTAAACAATAAATATGTAACTTTACTTTTTCCTTTCCTTTTCCTTTCTCCTGAAACACTTAATTTTGTATGTTTTTGTTATGTTTCATTTACATTTAATGAAAAATTAACAAAAAGGAACTGATATATCACTGCAAACAACCCCCAAAAATAAGAAAACGTTAAGAAATTTTTTTTTAAATAATGTGAAATAGGAGCGGCAAACACGCAAAATTAGACAATTAAGTATTTCAAATTGAAATTGAAAATTGAAAATTCTCCACAGAGGAATCATGTTCATTGTTCATGTCCTAACAACATAACTAGCGGAAAAGTCGAATTAAACTAATATCTGACCGTGTAAAGATGTGGTCGAATGCGCTAGCGGAGATCCCTACGCCCGGTGGTCGGATGCGCTAGCGGAGACCCCTACGCTAGCTACGATACCAGAGACCCGTATGTCTAGCCAGAACATCTTTAAAGAGAGAGAGAGAATTAAGATAATAATAGTTATTATATTCAAGGATTAAACCGCAGTACGCAACCAATTTGTTTTAACACTGCTAGGGAGGGAGAAAGTGATGCTACTATAATAAATCATATTTAACCTGTAAACTGCAGTATACGTTTACAACATGTTTTCTAAAGGGAATTGAGGGTAAAAATTAATTTAATGCAAGTTTCTGTTTGGTTAAGCATATTTATAATAGATACTTGATGTAACAGTAGATTTTACACCTGGACCAACTATTTATAGAAAATATATTCATTTCTCTTTTTGTAAATTGGTATTATGAGTAATAGAGGAAAGTATATCATAAACCTTCCCTGGGGTCCCTAGATGTCCCACAAAAAATTTGGGCCCGATCGGTTCAGCCGTTTTGACGTTTATTGGATACAAACAAACAAACAGACAAACAGACACCCAGACAAGCCAAATTTATATATAGAGATATATATATATGTATATAGATATATTTGGTTTGTTACGGACGGGTCAAAACCGGATATAAAGTTGTCAATAACTTGTCAAATAATAAGGATGCTAACCGGCCTGAATACCTGCAGTTGTATAATTGTAATTTCACTGGAAAGTAACAAATATAAAGATATTATTATGTGCAAGCTTAGAGCATCGATTGTGAAATTCTATAAACTCGAATTTTCTAATCCCTATATCTTTCCAACGTGTAAATTTTTGATATTTCAAACTTAGATTATTTTATCTTACAGAATTCATAGTGTGAAATATCTCAGGTCTACAACATTGGGTTGCAAAGATATAGAGATTAGAAAATCAGAATTTGTGGCAACAACTCTTAATAAAAAGTTTTAAAAAGTAAAAGTATTGAATTATGTTAATGTAAAGGTTAAATTGAATGATTTCATATTGCCTGTCAATAATACTTTCTCCGTCTCTAATAAAAGGCTGTTTATTGGACCCGGGATTTATTCATGGTTTTAATTTCATGTTAAAGTTTCACGGATGAATATTCCAACTTTCTCAAAGATTTCTCAATGTTTGGAGGAGACTAAGGAGGAAGGACGGGTCTGTAGATTATCATTTATAAACTCATTCAGCCGATTAATCAGGGGTACAGAACCATTCATATGGATAGCGGACACCCGCCCCTCTTATTTTACTAGTTACTTTCATTCTTTAAACTTGCCTTTTCATTACTCTCTATTTACTTTCATTTCTATTCTTATACTTTCCCTTTCCATTCTTATTCATTTACTTTCATGTTCTATACTAATACTTTTCCTTTCCATTTTTAAATGTTTACTTTAGTTTTGTATACTTATACTTTCCCTTTCCATTCTTATTCATTTACTTTCATGTTCTATACTAATACTTTCCCTTTCCATTTTTAAATGTTTACTTTAGTTTTGTATACTTATACTTTCCCTTTCCATTCTTATTCATTTACTTTCATGTTCTATACTAATACTTTCCCTTTCTATTCTTATTCATTTACTTTCATGTTCTATACTAATACTTTTCCTTTCCATTCTTAATTATTTACTTTTATTTTCTACACATAAACTTTTAGTCTTTATTCTTTATTATTTACTTTCATTTTTTATACCTATATTTTGCCTTTCCATGCTCATTTATTTACTTTCATTTTTATCAGATACTTTCCCTTTACAATTGTTACTATATTAGATACTTTCCCTTTACAATTGTTACTATATTAGCTTTTTATTCTTAAAACTTTATTTCCATGTTCTATCTTGATACTTTCCCTTTACAATTGTTACTATATTAGCTTTTTATTCTTAAAACTTTATTTCCATGTTCTATCTTGATACTTTCCTTCTTTAATTTGCAATTACAGTTTCTTTTTATAATTAATTCTTTACTCTACTTTCTTATACTTTTATGTTTCATTCGTAATTATTCCCCCTTTACGTTCATTTTTCATTCTTAATTTTTCACTTTCATTCTCTATATTTTGCTTCTAATCTTAATTAATGAAATTTAATCTCAATTAATGAATGTTAATCTCAATTAATGAATGTAAATCTCAATTAATGAATGTTAATCTCAATTAATGAATGTTAATCTCAATTAATGAATGTTAATCTCAATAAATGAATCTTAAACTTTTTTTTGAACATCTCCGTTAAAATAAATGCAATAAACGATGGAGAATTTATAAATATCGTATTGGAATTCATTTATGATATTTGTCTAGAGAAAATAAATAAATTCCCAAAATGTATTTTCTTCATATTGAGAATCCGAGTAGGTATAAAAGAGATAATATTTTGAGTATTGTATCTAGTTTATAAAGGCTAAAGATGGAGATATGTCGTATTCTTCTTCTTCTCTCCTCTCTAGTTCTCGTGATAAACTCTACTCTACAGTCAGGCAGGGATCTACAGATATCGCCTAGATCCAGACTCATATGAAAAGTTTCACTAATTTTAATTCAATACTTTGTCGAGCCTTGGCCTTTAATTTTACCGCATTAACTCACTTGTCATTTTTTGTAGCCCTGGATATATACATTTTAGGTTTATACAGCACTTGTTTTTTAGATTAAGTCTTAAAGAAGTATAAATTCGTAAAATTCCCATCGATTTTTGGGTAGTAATCCCAAGTTTTGAAAAGTGTTTAAATCACTTTATTGACCTATTATTCTTTTAATTTACTTTAAGTTTCTCAAAAGAGGAATTTTACCCATTTAAAAAAATACACATAATACCCCTATTTTTTCCAATATGAAATTCAAACAAAATACTTTTGAGCTACGGTAAAATGCCATGCCTACGGATTTTTATAATAACAGTAGCATATTCTTTTTCGTAAAGGTCCTCATTTCGTGTTTGTTGTTAAAAATAAATATAAAATGAAGAAAAAAGTTATCGTCGTCAAATTTTTATAATAGATCTAAACTTTCTCAACAGCCGACCCAATCTAACGTTAGTTTAAGTATATCCCTTTGATAGAAGATGCTTTCCAATTCTGGAATAGCTTAAGAAATTCTCCTGATTCTCTGGAATTTCCAGAATATCCGGGGTTTCCAGGTTTTCCAGTTTCTTCGGGTCCTGAGATCTCAAGGTTTAGCAGAAGGTAGGTCGTATTACTTATTTTGATTTGTTCGTGCCTAAAAACGGAAATAAGGTTCCAAAATTTATGTAAAAAGAATTGAGTATTTGTTACATACTCTGATTTTCCTATCCCTACATCTTTTTAACAAAATGTCGTAGACTTTCAATTCTGTTAGATCAAATAATCCAAGTTTATCATCAGGTTGCGAAGATGGGATTGGAAAATTTGAGCTTGTGGCAAAAACTCAACTCCTTTAATACTTTTGCTTGAATTGCTCCAGATCTGGGTAAATGAAAATCTGAGTATTTTAACCAATTTTTTTCAATTTTTTCGGGCCTATTTTTGAATCGTAAATTGATGCATGTAGCTAAACTCAGTTCGGCAGTTTTGACGTTTATTGGATACGCACAAACCAACAAACAGACACGCCAAGTCTACCGCTGTAGGCATAAAATGCCCCAGTTTTATAAAATAAAAGTATATAGTGTCAAGTTCTAAGGTAGTGAGATTCATGAAAAAAATAAAAAGTGAGATTTGAAAATCCAAAATGAGAATATAAAATTTCAACTTTTATTTTCAAACTGTAGTATTGGCGGTAGTGAGATTTGAAAGTCCAAAATGAGAATATAAAATTAAAACTTTTATTTTCAAACTGTGGTATTGGCGGTAGTGAGATTTGAATATAAAATTTCAACTTATATTTTTAAACTGTGGTATTGAGGGTAGTGAGATTTGAAAATCAAAAATCTAAATAAAAAATTTAAACTTTTATTTTCAAACTGTGGTATTGGCGGTAGTGAGATTTCAAAATCCAAAATGAGAATATAGAATTTCAACTTTTATTTTCAAACTTTGGTATTTGCGGTAGTGAAATTTAAAAATCCAAAATGAGAATATAAAATTTAAACTTTTATTTTCAAACTGTGGTATTGGCGGTATTGAGATTTGAAAATCCAAAATGAGAATATAAAATTAAAACTTTTATTTTCAAACTGTGGTATTGGCGGCAGTGAGATTTGAAAATCAAAAATCCAAATAAAAAATTTCAACTTATATTTTAAACTGTGGTATTGAGGGTAGTGAGATTTGAAAATCAAAATTCCAATTAAAAAATTTAAACTTTTATTTTTAAACTGTGGTATTGACGGTAGTGAGATTTAAAATGTCACTACCGCCAATACCACAGTCTAAAAATAAAAGTTTAAATTTTATAGTCTCATTTGGGATTTTCAAATCTCACTACCGCCAAAACTTCTAGTTTAAAAGTATTTACATTTTCTAATTTCGAAAAAAAGGCATTTAATAATCTGAAAAGTCATAAAAAAATGTACAAAAACTAGCTCTAAAAGCACTTTCAATTATTACTTTAAATAGGCGATTCACGCACCTCTGCCCCTTTAGTAAAAGTAAATTCAACCTATATGAAGCATGAAGCCTGACCGCGTCAACCTTGTCGCACCGGCTAGTCCTGTCCATTGAACTAGGTACAGTACAAACTAGGACTGGAAAGGTTGACCCGGCTCGGATATTCAAATGTACTACGGCTGCCCGTGAATTAAACAGTAATTGTGCAGTGTAAAAAAGCTCATTTCATTTCTTGGTAACAACATCAAATGCACGTCAGTATTGCTTTAACGTCGTCTTCATATTCTACAGTTTACTGTTTATATACTTGGCTTTCTGAACGCTGCTTCGGGCCCTTCGTAAAATAAATATATTTTTAACTTTCAAATGTATTACTAAATAATTAAAATAACATACTTTGATGGCAGATTTTACTGATTTTATCAATGAATTTACAAAATATATTACTTATTCCATGGTTCCTATATCTCAAGGTTTCAGAAATAGGTTCGAAAGTTAAATTCATCCAAGCATATGTTTTATGCAGCACTTCCTTTAAAGTATTTATATTGCATTCTTTTTGAGAATACCAAAGAAATAGCAATGCAAATATTTTTTATTCTATTCAGGCATTTATTCGTTTGATTTAAATCAAAAATTTTTGCTATAATATTATTTTTCACATTTTTAGGATTTATTTTTGCGTATTTAAAAACTTACATAACGAGAAAATGGCATATGGATATAAGCACAGTATTGTAGATTGTTAAATAAAGAATTAGGCTTCATTTGATACAAGTAATATGTTTCTGAAGAGGCAAAATTAAAAGATGAAACCGAGAGAATACTTTATTTAATGTTCCCCAATAAGAATTTCTCTCAATGTTCCGAAAACGTGCTTTGTATAAAAGAACTATCAATGAAAATGAAGAATAAAAGTTTTAATCCATTCTTTTATTTCGTCAAGATTTATTAACGTATTTCTGAAAAGTTGTCTTACTTTTGTAAATCCACGGAAAATATAAAGAAATGTATTATTTACTCTCAGACAAATTAGAATCAAGGGAAATTTAAATTTCCCTTGATTCTAATTTGTCTGAGAGTAAATGACATTCCTTTTTAAAGAGGGGATTCAATGATAAACCCGAGGGCTTACGGATTTTGCGGATTTTTTTTGCCTTTGTAGATTTTCAAAGTATCTTTCAATGAAAATATCCTGAGCTGGAATTTAAAGAATTTAAGCCGCGGTTTAAATCCACCAAAACCCGGTTTAAATTAAGCGCCGACTTAAATCTTGAAACATTTGATACAATTTTAAGTAAAACCAACCATATTTAAACCGCGGCTTAAATTTAAACCGCCGCTCAAATTCTTTAAATTCGGCCACCGGTGGGATTAAATGAAAATTATTGCATACCAAAAAACCAGCTTTTTACAAAGGAATGAAAATTTTCGCTATTAAGAGAATGATTAGGATATTGGACAACACTGGGTTATCAAGCTTGTATCTATACAGTGCGACCCAAAAGTGTTTGCAATCTAAATATTCTGCCCATGTACGTGTAAAAACAGTACTTTTGACAAAGTAATGTAGAAAAGTAAAGTTGTTGAAAATACCAAAACCAACAATATTTTTTTTTTTACAAAAAAGTGTTAAAAGTCAACAGTACACTTTCATAAATAAGTTTAATGTGCTATTTTTCTTAATTTCACGGACCAAAAAGTTTTTGCAAATTTGACAAAGAATACGAAAAACTATATTTTTAACCATTCGAAACCAAGAACAGAATGCCATAAATATTTTTCAAAAAATTTGACCAAGATCACAGAACTGTGCTAAGGATGTTAATGAAAGGGATTGGTCGTCAAAAGCACTGATTAGGGCAGTAGGGACTAAATTCTAAAGAAAACAATTAAGCTAATTCTTTGTAAAAACCCCATTCTTCAATAGGATTCATATTTTAACAAGCAGTTCTGTCCTTTAAACATATTCATATTTTAACTAGCAAATCTGTCCTTTAAATAGATTCATATTTTAACTAGCAGATCTGTCCTTTAAACAGATTCATATTTTAACTAGCAGATCTGTCCTTTAAGTCCCAAAATCCAACCGAAGAGAAATCTAAACACCCCATTTAATCCAAAAGTTCACTTTATATGCTTAATTTTTACCCTAGAACATCAAAAGTCGAATAAATTCGCTCTAACTAAATGAAGAAAAACTTCAAAGAGTTGTTTTGTCTACGCAGTGTTGACTGGCTGGACAAGTGGGCAAAGGAATATCTTCAAGAGAGAAAATGTTTCTAAACAGCAGCATGGGATGGGATGGGTCAGGGGGTCACAATTTTTATTGAAATCGTCAACAGCACTCTGTTGGGTTCTTTTAGGGTTACTGATTGGGTTAATTACCAAATTATGAAGCGTTTAGGCATTTTCTTAACTCATGGCTACCCTGGTAGTAACATAGGCTGAAAATATAATTTTTCAAAATTTTTTCAAATCTAAATGTTTTGTTAAATTCGATGTTATAATTCCACGGGCAAAACGCGAGCACTTCAGCTAGAAATATATAAACTCAATAGAACCACGGAAATGGTTTTAGCTTAAAAAAACTAAGTGGAGTTTCCATGCAAAGCTGGGTTCCCAATCTTGTCATACAAAAAATATAAAAGATCCCTTGAAAGGGATTTTTAAAAGTATTTTTTCCTAGATCTGCAGAAGAAGCAAAGAAAACTCCTTCAAATGTCGTCTTGGCTTGGAAAATGGATTACTTTAACCCAATGTTACGCGGGAAACGAACTCAGCAGCTTGAGCAGCTGTATACTTCCCCCCAGCTTATACCAGGTATTTAAATCATTAACCCTATAAAATGCAAGTTTTTTATCTAAGCATTTTTATTTTTAACACCACCACCTTTAATGTTAGGGCAGTTACAGGACAGTAAAAAGGCCGGTCCGTGGTTTAAAAAATCTAAATTAGCCCATCACTACTTAGTCTTTATAGCTACCGATCTATGAGCTACATTTTAGAAAAGTCCTTGAAAAATAGATTTGTCACATTTTCATATTTGTTAAAAATGAAAAACAATTTTTTACATTTTTCCATCTTTTTTAATATTAATATATCTGACCACCCAGTTTACTGTTTGTTTATCTGACCACCATGTACACTGTTTGTATATTTAAAGTTCGGTGATGGTGATGAAGTAAAAAAAGTAGTTGTAAGTTCCATATTTATTGAAAAATATTTCGGTCTGGGTTGACCCGGCCTCGTCAATTCTAGAAAAAAAATGTTAAAACCACAAGAAAAAACTAATAAAAAAGATTATTTAAAATTAAAAAAATTGGGCTGTCAAATGGACAAAAGGGAAACGAACTCAGATCATGAGATGGAAAAAAGATAATTTGCAAATATTCACTTTTTAAAAAATGTTTGAGGACAATTATCATTCCTTGAGATTGTCTCTGTCAGGAAGATTAAAAACAAACTGTTTATATGCATGTGTATAAAGTGGTGGAAGGAGTTGTACTAATTAACGAACTTTTACGTAAATCGGGGGGAGGGGGGGCGACTTGTTCAAAGATGGGTATTTAAACCTTTGTAAGAATTGGATATAAACAATAATCAAGTAAAACAATATTTAAGTAAACTTCTCTCAAGTTCCCAAACCTTCTCTAGTACGCCAACTATGGCTAAAATGTTCTCCTGTAGGCTGGTTTCTATGGAGATTTCAAATGTAACCAATATGTTCTTTCACTCTTTCATCTAAAGATCTTGTTGTCTGTCCTATATTGTAGTTTACACTGCTCACATGGCCTTACATATGGTCGTCTTTCTGAATGGCAAAAAAACTCCCTCCAACGCAGTATTTTGTTTGTATATCTAAGCGCACTATAAACTGTTTGTATATCTAACCACCCTGTTTACTGTTTGTATATCTAAGCACACTATAAACTGTTTGTATATCTGACCACCCTGTTTACTGTTTGTACTTTTTGTTTTCTAAAATTTACAAATAACGAATAAATTACACAATTCGCAAAGTATTTTTTTAAAAAAAAGGGGGGAAAAAGGATGGGTGAGTAGCAAAGAGAAAAAGGGAAGAGAAGGAGAAACCCCAGCACTAAAAAATCCAATTTTTGTAGATAATATGTTACAAAGTGGTTTACAAGATTTTCAAATTACATGAGTTGCAGTTCCTGTTTTTACATTTAAATTCCTTATATTTAGAAGCCAGATATATTTTCATATTCGTTTTGAAACTAAGTACTGATAATGAACATTTAATATTCATTGGAATATATTCCAAATTCTCGTGAGAAATATTTTTGGAAAAGGTTTAAGATATTTATTTCTTATTAATTCCAATTTAAAACTTTGTGTCCTATTAGGTTCTAAAAATGGAGCAAATATTCCATTAAAAGACGAAGGTAGTTTTTCTTTTATATACTTATACATAAAAGTAGAAGCATTATGTTTGTGTATATCAGATGATTTAAGTATTCCAAGTTTAGAAAACAAAGGATCTGTATGCTGTGAATATCCTTTATCTGACAAAGTCCGTATTGCTTTCTTTTGAAGTTTAAATAATTTTCCTATTTTATTGTTTGTTGATGACCCCCATGCTAAAATACCATACTCTAATTGAAATTTTATTAAACTTTCATAAACTATCTTTCTTATGTTTAACGGGAGAATTTCAGGGCAAAAATGTGTGCACAAATACCATCTAATTGATAATCCTAGTTCAAAAATTCGTCAAATTTTACTCCGACAAACTTGAAATATTTATCTTTGCAAGTAGAACCTATTCTTTCAATAATTTCATTTCCTATTTTGAGATTATAACCCTGATCATCAAATGGCATAGATTTATTTCTAAATACAATATATTTGGTTTTTGAAACAGTGTTAACTTATTAGCCTGAAACCAATAAGATGCTTTAGAAAGTTCATGATTTGCCTTTTGAAAAAGAGTTTCTAGATTATTGGATGATTTTAAGAATCCAGTTTCATCGGCAAATAAAGAAGTGAAAAACAATTTACAATCTGGAAGATCATTTATGTACAGAAGGAAGAGATCCTAAAACTGAACCCTGGGGTACACCACATAAAATGTCCTTGCAAGAAGATTCAAAATCCCTTACACTTATGTATTGAGTTCTATTTGTAAGATAATTTCTAAACCATAGATTAGTATTATCCCTGACCCCGTAGTGATTAAGTTTCTTTAATAGAATCTCAAAATCTACGGTATCAAACATTTTTTTCAGATCTAAAAAATAGCAATTGTGTATTCAGGATTGTCTTTATTCATTCCTTCATATATTTTATCTAAAAATTGTATAAGAGGTTGTGAAGTATCATGATTTGGCCTAAATCCATATTGATGAGAATACAAAATATTGTATTTGTTTAAGAACTTAAACATTTGACGTGTTACAAGTTTTTCTAACAGTTTTGAAAATGAGGATAATAAGCTTATTGGTCGATAATTTGTAAACTCTGTAGTTACTCCTGATTTGTAAATAGGTATTACCTTGGCACATTTATAGCTTTCAGGAATAAAGGCTGATTTCAAGGATAAATTAAAAATATTAACTACAGGAGATATTATATTTGGCATATTCTCTTTTAAAAGTTTTGTGGATATGTTATCTTTACCACAACTTATCTTACTTTTTAGCAAAGAAAGTGTTTCAGAGATGGTTTCAGGAGTCACATTTGCAAATACAAAGTTAGTATCAACAGAGGTTGATAAGTATTCTGTAAAATTTTGTGTTGGAGCAGGAATAGTTATAGTTGAAGCAAGATTTGGTCCGACATTCACAAAAAAATTGTTAAATCCTTCAGATATTTCTTGTAAGCCTGAAAAAATCTTACCATTACAATGAAACTGATCAGGAATATCTGATTTTAAATTATTTGATTTTAGAACTTTTCTAAGAACATTCCAAGTTTGTTTGATATTCCTGTTGTATTAATGAAATTTATCTTGATAATAATTATTTTTTGCCTTTCGCAATATAGATCTGTAAATTGTTTTGTAAAGATGCCATCCAGAAATCATACTTTCAATGCATGGAGACTTACAGCAGCCGTTAAACTCTCTATTTAAAACTCAGGCCAATTCAGACCACCAGGCTTAGACACAGAAGGGAGCGGAATAAGGTTTGCGAGGCTAAAACCGAATTCACAAAGAATCGAAAGGAGGAAGATTAACCCGTCATATGAGGCGGAGTAAAGGTCCGGAGAGTCTGTCAGAGAGCTTTGGCTTTCTTCGATTCAGTAGTATCAACCATTATTTGTTCTGTTTTATACTGTAAATACATTTTATCCTATACTCTGTACATCAGTTTCAGGCTTAACTTCAACTATAACTTTTAAATGGTAAGAATAGCAATTGATAGATCGCCAAATAGTTGAAATAAAATTTTTCTAAATCTATTACTTAATGATTCTAAAAGTAAATTTGTTATATTATTATATTTCCCAGGGTTTGTTTCTTTTATTATATGTAGATTGTCTAGATATAACCTAATATATTTAGATACTGCTCACTTAAACTCTTTTATGAACACTTACCACGCAGCTTTATTCCTAATTAAGAACTATTTTATATTCAGAATATACAACATACAATTTATGCAATAGAAATGAGGTGGGGGGGGGGTGTGTAAAAAGGTTTTTTTCTGTGTACATTTTTTAAGGATTTGTTAAATTTTGAGTTTTATTTTTAGCCCTGATTTTTGGTTTAATTCAAAGTATAACTAGGAAAAAAGGCTTACGAGATAAATATCTTGATATATCTATTCAAATTGTATGCCGGTTTTCTTCTATATAAAAAAAGCTATTCGCTCATATATGTATAAATAATATATCTTTTTAAAATATATATTATAAATCATGTTAGCTATAGCTGGCCGAACGGCTGGATCAAATTGGGTGATTTTTTTTAAGGGAACCAATGGCCGTACCTTGGGGGTATCATAGGGTAAACATTTTTTAATAAAAGTATTCAAAATTCTATTTTTTTTTCAAAATTCAAATCTGTTTTTTTTAGAATTTCACGGGCAACGCTGGGCTTTGGTTATTTTTTAAAACGCATGAATCTGTAACTAAACCTTAAAATGACTGAAATAAATATGATAAAAAATAGAATAATCAGGCTTTTTATACAACGTCCATATTATAGCATTGTTTTGAAAAAGTGTACTGCAGTTTTTTGTAGAACTTAAGTGCTGCTGAGGAGGCTCAGTATTGTTTATATTACTCCCAGAAACTCGATATTGGGGTTCTTGGTTTATTATCTAATCTACTTAGATTTATCTATAATTTATATAAGATGTTACTTAAATCAACAAAGAAATTGAGTCTTTGCCAAAAACTCAAAAGTTCTAATGCCTATATCTTTGAAACCTGATGGTGTAAACCTTTGGTAGTTCACACGCAGATTAATAGATTTAACAGAGTTCATAACTTGAAATTTCTAAGGTCTAGGAAGTTTGGTTGCAAAGATGTATATGGATTAGAAAACCAGATTTTGTGAAAAAAAATTCATTTTCTTCGTTTACTTGTTGATAACTTTTCAGTTTTTCCTGTTTTACTAAACCTCAAGTCGGAAAATACATTTTATTAATAATATTACAAAAACATGGCATACATTGATTTTTAAAAACACATGTTTTTGCTTTTCAAATAAGTCATATTTTAACTTCAACAGCCATTAAAATATTAAGATATTTTTGTGCAAATTTTATTTCAATTAGATAAATCAATTTTTAACCCAACAGTAGACACTAGTCTGGAGAAAGGAGAGGGGGGTTGATATGTCAAGAACATCTATAATCTCCGTCTTTATGGATGAACAGGGTGTCCCAGAAAACATGAGGCTTAAGTGACGACTTCAAAATCGTCTAAGATGTATGCAAAATTCATTTTAAAATCTGAACATACTTAAAACACAAAAAATTTGACAAAATATTCTGAACCTGGGACTTTCTAAATGTGTCCTGCTTGTTTGGAAAACGGTTGAAATGACAAGATTTTGTCCCAGTTTGATATCACTAAAACTAAAATAATCTAAATTTTTAACTCCTCTCCTTCATTTCTAAGTTTTCTAGACGGTAGAACACGCTAGTTGTAAAACTTGGACGTAGTAAATTTGATTTCAATGATGCAAAATCGTCACTGAATTTCATGTTTATCGAGACACTCTGTACTTGATCTAAAAAACTCGTTTTCACACACTTGTCCCATCCTCGAGAATATATTAATTCTATTCAAAGATCCGTCACCCTCTGACGTCTACAGATTAAAACCCGCTCATCTACATTTCCTCAATTCTATGCAGGAATAAGAAGGTAAATAATTATTTTTAAAGGGAATGTTAACGGAGAAGAAAGGTAGAGAATGAGTTGATACCACATTATCAAGAAAAATTCAATTATATTTTAATGGATTAAAGGGAGTGTTCGCGAAAATTGAAAGGGGGTATAGGCTTACTGCATAAAAAATAAGCGCTTTTGATTGCTACAAATCTTACTTTTATTGCGTCTACAAGAAGAAAATTGTTAAAGACGAAATATTTTTTATTTTTCATGATCTGAGAGTTACTTTTGAAAAAATTTATTCCTGTTTCGAGGATTTTTGATAATGAAAACGACATTTTCATATTTTGCAGGAATGTTCGAAAATCCAGCGCCTGCCAAATATTATTTTTTAAAAAAAATCAAAAATAATATGAAATATTACCCATATATAAATGCGTCGAAAAATAATCGATGACTATTGTTTGTAATATCTGTATGATTTGTATGGAATTAAATGAATTATTTTACGATCCGAGTCAAATGTTGCAACTTTCCGAATTTGTATGAACGCTACGTTCTTCGGTGTGTGTCGTTTTTATCAATTTTCTCCTTATAGACACAACCAATAGAAGTAAGATTAGTAGCGATAAATAATGATTATAATATCGTTTATTGCTGGATACTGCTTACTTATACAAAAAAAGTCAGAAAATAAAAACTCATAAATAATGAATATCTAATTTAAGTTTAATGAATGAAATACATATTCTTTCTGTTCAAATAACAAAAGGATATAGCGATCTAGTTTAATAATGTTAAGATCTAGTTAAATAATGTTAAAAGGATACCCCCTTTTTAACTTTTACCCCATTTAATTTTTGATTTAGAATACAAAGGAATTGAGTCTTTGTCACAAACTCATATTTTCTAATCCCTTTATCTTTGCAACTTGATGACGTAGACCTTTGATATTTCAAACTATAATTTCTGTCAGATTAAATAATCTAAGTTTGAAAATCATAGGTTTACACCTTTAATCTGCATAGATATAGGAATAGAAAATTTAGAATTGTGACAAAAACTGAATTCCTTTGTTGAATTTAGGTACCCTAGTATGGAATCCCATGCACTGCTTGGCATCTGGAAACCTTAATATGTCAACATCTAACTTGAGAAACCCGGAAACCAATACACCAGAAAACCTTGAAACCTGACTCCTGAGACTTAAAAGACTAAACCTTTGACTCCTGATCGACCAAAAATAAGATTTGATGTTTAGAAAATAATTGTTTAAACGCTTGTTGTTTTATGATTGTGTTAAACAAAGAGGGGAATATGAAATATATCAATGTAAAATGCAAACTGCTTGTTATAAAGAAATATTTACAAAGAAAGGTAAGCGTAATGCAATTTCTGATGTATTTGCAAATGTTAATAGAATTTCTATGTTCTAAAAAACATTATTTTCAAAGGAATTGAGTATAAAATAATCTAAGATCAAAATATCAAAGGATTAAAGCATCAAGTTGCAAAGATATAGAGATTAGAAAATTTGAGTTTGTGGCAATGACTCAATTCCTTTTTATTTATCTTTAAAATCTTTTAAATACGTTTTTTCTTTATTCTTCTCTGCTTCCACAAATTATCAAAAAAGTTATTTAAATCATAATAACAAAGTTTCAATAGTAAAATTATCTCCATTTTATAGTGGATTTAAAACATCTTCATGGTATAATCAATTTAAAAGCATCTCCATTATGTAATCAACATTAAATAATCGATCTATAATAATAACTCCGTTATAAAATTGATCCAAATTAATTCTGTTCGGAAATCAATAGAAAAAATCTCTATAGCATAATCGATCTTAAACACCTCCATTTTGTAATCGATCTATAACAACACCATTATATAATCAATCTATAACAACACCATTATATAATCAATCTATAACAACACCATAATATAATCAATCTATAACAACACCATTATATAATCACTCCAAAACATCTCCATTATGTAATGGACTAAAACATCTACTATATCAAATCAATCTAAAACATCTCCATTATGAAATCGATTTAAAACATCTCCATTATGAAATAAATCTAAAACATCTCTATTATATAATAGATCAAAAACATCTCCATTATGTAATCAATCTATAACATCTCCATTATGTAATCGATCTAAGACATCTCCAATTTATAAGAAATCTACAACATCTCCATTATATAATCAATCTTTAACATCTCCATAATATAATCAATCTTAAACATCTCCATTTGTATTCAATCTATAACATCTCCATTATGTAATCGATCTAAATCACCTCCGTTATATAATTTATCTAGACCATCTCCATTATATAATCATCTTAATCATCTCCATTGTATAATTGATGTAGAACATCTCCATTATGTAGCCAATTTAAAACATCTTCATTATATAATTCATCTATGACATCGCCATTATAAAATCGATCTAAAACATCTCCATTATATAATCGATCAAAATCATCTCCGTTATAAAATCGATCTAAAACATTCTCTATTATATAATCGATGAAGAATATCTCCATTTCATAATCGATCAATGGGATTTGTTGTTTAGTGATTTCTAGAGATTAATTAAAAAGTTTGATGAAATTACAAAAAGAAAATATTGAAGCTGTAATAAAAACAAAAAGAAAACTAATTATAAGGAACAATATAATCATATACTGAAGTTGATACTGCAACTCACGTCAAATTAAAGTAAATTCCACTTTATATTACATGTTATCAGTCATAAATCCTTTAATTAAAGTGAATTCCACGTTAAATTACATGTTTTTAATCATAAATCCTTTAATTAAAGTAAATTCCACGTTATATTACATGTTTTTAATCATAAATTCTTTAATTAAAGTAAATTCCAAGTTATATTACATGTTTTTAATCATAAATCCTTTAATTAAAGTAAATTACACATTATATTACATGTTTTTAATCATAAATTCTTTAATTAAAGTCAATTTCACGTTATTTTACCTGTTATTTAATCATAAATTCTTTAATTAAAGTAAATTCCAAGTTATATTACATGTTTTTAATCATAAACCCTTTAATTAAAGTCAATTTCACGCTATATTACATGTTAAGAAAGTGCAAAATTTAAACATTGTTTAAACAGTGGCAGTAAACGTCTAATATTGTTTCTTTTGGTTTAACATTATAATTTAATTTTAATATCTTTTCTAAAGTAGTAAGTAAAGTGGTAAAGAGTAATGGAGTAGTAAGTAGTGAGCAGTGAGCAGTGAGCATTGAGAATTGAGTAGTAAGTAGTGAGTAGTGAGTAGAGAGTAGTGAGTAGTGAGTAGTAAGTCGTGAATAGCGAGTAGTGAGTACTTAGTAGTGAGTAGTGAGTAGTGAGTAGTGAGTAGTGAGTAGTGAGTAGTGAGTAGTGAGTAGTGAGTAGTGAGTAGTGAGTAGCTAGTAGTGAGTAGTGAGTAGTGAGTAGTGAGTAGTAAGTACTGAGTAGTGAGTAGTAAGTAGTGAGTAGTGAGTAGTGAGTAGTGAGCAGTGGATGTAAAATTTAAAAGAGATTTCAATTTATTAAATGAATTCATTTTATCTTTAGTAGAAATAGAAAAGCCTATATAGAGGATGAAAGAGTGTTTAATCGTGAATATTTACTGTACAGTTGATTCTTCCAACTAGTCAATTTACATTTTAATTCAACTGTCTCATTTAAACTTCAAATATTTAATTTTACAAAGATTAGTCATTCAATCATTTTTGCTATTCTATATCATAGTATATATTCTGAGGAAAGAGAAAAACATCAAATTATTCTTTACTCTTAAATTAATTGCGTTAACAATCCCTTAAACATTAAAAACTGGAAAACAGTCGTGTAAATTGTACAAAGTGTAAAAACTTGAAAGATTTGTTTATAGTTTAAACCATTGTTTTGAGAGTTCCTTCAAGTTCAGAGAGAGAAGAGAGAGGAAACTTTGTATTTAATTATAAACCTAGAGAAGATTATCAACAGTTTTGGACCCCGGGGTATCCAGGGTTTTCTAATATCTATATATGTCTAGCTTTACTTATCTGGGGAATCCAGGGTTTTCTAATAACTGGTGTATCCTGGATATCTAGGGAATCAAGGGTTTCCAAATATATGTAGTGTATCCAGGATATCTAGGGAATCCAGGGTTTCCAAATATATCTAGTGTATCCAGGATATCTAGAGAATCCAGGGTTTCCAAATATCCATGGTATACAGGGTTTCCAAGGTAAGGTATCCCGAGGTATACCTGGATTGATACAGATCTGAAAGACTTTTATGGAGTATCCAAGATATCCAGGGTATCCAGGGCTTCATAATATCCAGTGCAAACAGGATATCCGGGGTTGCTAGGGTATCCAGGGTATCCATGGTTTCCTGATATCTAATGTATCCAGACCCCAGGGTTAATTATCCGGGGGATATCCAGTGTCTCCTAGAAGTGTATCCAACAGTATATCCAGGGTGTTCAGGGGTACACAGGTATCTAGAGTATCTAGGGTATTTACGGGATCCAAAGATTTCAGATACCAATTCTAGATTTCCAGGATAATAGAGCACACAAGAAACCAGGCCTACATATCCAAGACACCAGAGCATCCAGGATACCAGGCCTAGATATCTAGGATACCAGGCCTAGATATCCAGGATACCAGGCCTAGATATCTAGGATACCAGGCCTAGATATCTAGGATACCAGGCCTAGATATCCAGGTTACCAGGCCTAGATATCCAGGATACCAGGCCTAAATATCCCGGATACTAAGCCTAGATATCCAGGATATCAGACCTAAGTATCAATAATTTAAAGCCAAGATATCCAGGATACCAGGTCTAGATATCCAGGATAACAGGCCTAGATATCCAGGATACCAGGCCTAGATACACAAGTTACCAGCCCTAGATATCCAGGATGCCAGGCCTAGATATCCAGGATGAGACCAGGCCTAAATATACAGGTTACCAGGCCTAGATATCCAGGATACCAGGCCTACATCCAGGATACCAGGCCTGGATATCCAAGATACCAGGCCTGGATATCCAGGATACCAGGCCTAGATATCCAGGATACCAGACCTAGATATCTAGGATACCAGGTCTAGATTTACAGGATACCAAACCTAGATATCCTGTATATCTAGGATACCAGGCCTAGATATACAGGATACCAAACCTAGATATCCAAGATACCAGGATAATCTAGGTTGCAGAGAAATCAATATCAAGTATCCAGGTTATTAAAAAATCAAATATTTCCGCGTATCCCGAATAACATGATATTAGTATTTAGGTCATCCCGGTTAACCCGAATTTCCAAGATTTCAGGAATCTTCCAGATTATTCAGGTTGTGTTTCTTGTCGTGGTATCCACTAGTCCAGTATATCCCCGGGTATATAGTTTAATCTAATAGAGCATATAGTAATTATACACATGGTATCCACTATCCACTAGTCCAGGGTATCCCAGGGTATTCCAGGATATATAGTTTAATCTAATTGAGCATATAGAAACTATATACATGGTATCCAATATCCACTAGTCCAGGGTATCCCAGGATATATAGTTTAATCTAATAGAGCATATAGTAACCATATACACGGTATCCACTATCCACTAGTCCAGGGTATCCCAGGATATATAGTTTAATCTAATAGAGCATATAGTAACTATATTCATGGTATCCACTATCCACTATAATATAGTTTAATCAAATAGAGCACATAGTAACTAGAGACAATGCAAACTCCGTGTTTAATAATTCAACAAGTTCTAAATTGAAAAGTTAGGCAATGTCCAAGCTGATAAGTTATAGTAACAGAGAAACCCTTGAACAGCATAGATTATATTAGATTAAGAATTATAGTAACAGAGAAACCCTTTAACAGCATAGAGTATATTAGATTAAGAATTATAGCAACAGAGAAACCCTTTAACAGCATAGATTATATTAGATAAAGAATTACAGTAAAAGAGAAACCCTTTAACAGCATAGATTATATTAGATTAAGAATTACAGTAATAGAGAAATCCTTTAACAGCATAGATTATATTAGATTAAGAATTACAGTAAAGAGAAATCCTTTAACAGCATAGATTATATTAGATTAAGAATTACAGAAAAAGAGAAACCCTTTAACAGCATAGATTATATTAGATTAAGAATTACAGAAAAAGAGAAACCCTTTAACAGCATAGAGTATCCGCCACTGACCGTATTGTATAATTGTGTTAACTGTGAAGTCCCTCTATGTGATTCGCCAGGATGGGGTTCAGCAAATTTTTGTTCCCTCCTGCCTCCTTCTTACCTCAAACCTTTACCTGACTTGTACTCCGTGATTAAAAAGTAAAAAGAGAAAAGAGAAAAAAAGATTTATCTATATATATTATCTGTCTTTTTTAGGACTTTTACTTTTGCACGTTTTTAAATTAAGATATTTGCATCGGAGACTAAATGTTTGCATGTCCAATGTCCATCCTACATATCTAAGATTATTTCATCCTAGAGATCTTTATGATTAGTCCATCCTAGATCTCTATGATTTGTCCATCCTAGATCTCTATGATTAGTCCATCTTAGATCTCTATGATTAGTCCATCCTAGATCACTATGTGTAGTCCATCCAAGATCTCTATGATTAATCCGGACCAAGGTTCTTTAATAAGGTTACTCTAGATCTGCGCTCAAATGTACGGAAAATGTCGTCTCCACGATAGATAGATAAACCCCATATGACGTCACTGATTATAGAGTTGAGAGCAGAGGCGTATTCAGGGGGGTATTGTGGGTAAGCCCTCCCACTGGACCAGTGAAATCTATTGATTTCGGGGGGTTTTCATGCCCCAAAGGATGGTGCTGAGACCCCCCCGGAAAGAAAAAAATTTAAGCCCCCCCGGCCCTGGACACATTCCTGAATACGCCCCTGTCTGACGTTGCCATTTCAATTGACCTTACATTGGATTAGGGTCATGCTAGATTCACGATAGTATACCCTTTAATCTTTTATTGATCAATAATGTTAACAATATGCCTCTTTATTTAGCTTGAAAACTGTTTAAATCTGACCATTTACTTCAACATTTCTGTGAGTGTAGCATGAATTCAAAAGTCACTTTTCTCAGTATATTACTTTTCAAACGAAATCCATCTTCAAGAAAGATACAGGGTTACCCACAATGGATAAAACTGTAAAGACGACATAAAACTCTTCAAATATTAACATCCCAAGGTTTAATTGAGTCTTCTGCCTTGAATATAGTCTTTTAATGGCTTATTTAATGATTTTTAGCTTTAGTTTTTAGTTTAAAGGAATCATGAATATAAGGAAACACTTTGTATAAACTCCTTACATTCGTTTCTTAAGTCTCATCCTTTGTAGGTAACCCTGTATCTAATTTAAAGCTTTTTTGAGGACCGTTGTGAATCGGGCATGACCTAAAGAAATTACATCTTGAGACCATTTAAAAAGTTAGAAATATCTTCAGATGTTGATATTTTTCCTTACCAAGGATAATAAAGATGAGAATAAAGGGAATCTTTATAATTCCAATTAATTCCGCCAGGGTTCTCTGGCAGCACATTGTCATTGGTGCAATCAAATTGTCCGCTAATGCTCCATCTTTCTACAGTAAAAAATTAAAACTTATATTTTTTTAATCTAACAGGTATAATCAGTAAAAGTAGGGAAAAGTCGTCTTTATTAGTAATTTAATTAGAAACGTTGATGTTACCTGGAAATATATTTGAAAAGAGTTTGTTTCTAATTTCTGGAAATGCATCAGAGTCGGACATTCTTGGAAATCCACTGCCTGAATAATTTATTATTGTGATCAAAACATATGTCATTGCAAATTACATTCTACAACTCTGGAAAAAGCACACCATGAAGTATTGCTATACATACAGGGTGTCCCACGAAACAAGACAACTGGCATGGTTTGAAATGTCTTCTACTATAAATTGTTTAGTTGTTTGAAATCGAATAAAAATGTATCATATGACAGTCATATTATAGAAAAATTGATTTGAAGTAAATATATTTCAGAAAAAGATTTTCTAACGATAAATACTGCAAGAAGTCTTGAACACTTAAAATAGTATATGGAAGAAGACATTCAAAACTATTCATCAACTGTCATGTTTCTGGGGACACTCTGTATTAGAAAAAATTCCGAAAAACTTTAAATTTAGCTGGTAGTTATAATTTATTGTTGTCTAGCTAGCTCTTCATTGTTATTGTCACTGAAAGGAGCAGGATGTAGTAATTTCAAGTTACTAAAGCACTATAGTTTCAGTAGAAATAAGTATTTCCATTTACTGATAGCGTCGATATAAGGATTCATACTAATTAGATAATGAGATAGATAGAAAGATAGATGTTACCACCATACTATTTCTACTGGTTCGAGTAGACAACAACCACATGGCTGAACCCTCATTGGATCAGGCGCTAATGGACTCGACACACAGGAGTGAAAGGAGAGGCATGTCCTATTTACAATGTCACCCTTTAAACTTTTAGCTGATCAATGCTTGAAAAGTGTTTAGGTATGACAATTTATCCATTATTTCTGAAGTAAAAATAAGCTTTAAAAAGTCACTTGGAAATGATAAATTTTCAAAGAGACTACAGTCATATAACCAGAAAGACCCGGCATTAATTGACAATTAATCAGACGACTTTTACAATCGTCTTTTTTGTGCGTTCTAGCCAAAACATTTAGTCTTTATATCTCGGGTATTTTTGAAAGCAGGAAGGTTTATTTTGTGACTATCGTGTCTATCATCATATTTGTATTTTTTCAAAAGTATATTAACAAATGCATGCCGCAAACTGTTACAAAGATCAAAGACGATGTAAAAGTCGTCTGATTTATTGTCGATTCATTTTGGGGTCGTTCTGGTACATTACTGTGTACAAAGCTTTTAAGTATACCGGTGTAAATCGGATATGCCGTTTTATAAATGAAGAGTCACTTGAAATAAAACCTACAGTCCCTTTAATTTAGAGACATTAATCTTCACCTTGCTCTGAAAGTCAAAATGAATCCTATCTTCATCTTCAGGTTGGAAAGTACTTTCTTCTGCCGTGTCTTCTTCAAACGAAGGATTTATTAAACCTGGAAACAGATAAATTAAGATTTGCCGTCAAAGATCACAATATGATTTCTAGTCAGTTAAAGGGAGTGTTCGCGAAATATGAAAGGGGGTATAGGTTAATTGATTTCGATATTGATCGCCACTTTTACTTTTATCTGCTGCGTCTATAAGAAGAAAATGTTTAAAAACGTCTTTTGCGTCAATACAAATTCACAGATTTTCATTATTCTATTTTCAGATTGTAAAAAATTCAATTATTATATAATTTGCATATGGTAATAGCTTTGAGGTATACGGCGTTTTTAACCATTTTCTCCTCATAGACGTAACATATAAAAGTTAGTAGAGATCAATATCGAATTCAATAAAATGTCAGCCTATACTCCCTTTCAATTTTGCAAACACTCCCTTTAAAGTTGAAAACGATATTTATGCATTTGATGAATCAGTTGGCGGAGCTGGACAACAATTTTTACCTGAATCTATGACTTCTTCTTGAATCTTTCTGGTTGGCGTCTCAACTCCTTCTCTAAAAATCATGTTTTGCACCAGATCGGAATTAAGTCTTTGTCACAAACCAAAATTGTCTAACACCAAATCTTTGCAACCAATGATGTAAACCTTTGATATTTCATGCCTAGATTATTTGATCCAATAATAATCAAAGTTTGAAAAATCTAAGGTCTTGCAAAGATATAAGAGGTAGAAACTATAAAAAATGAGTTTGTGGCAATTACAGATTTAATTTTTCTAGACTGATAGTATTCGTTGCTACGTGTTTTAATTGTTCAAGTGTTTAAGAAAAAATACCGCATACACGAAAATTCATTCCCATGTTCATGTTTTTAAGTTTTCTAATCCTTGTATCTTTTCAACCTGATGGTGTAAACCTTTGATAATTCAAACTCAGATTATTTGACTGAATTGTTCATCGATTAAAATATCAAAGGTCTACGACATAGGATTACAGAAATGCAAAGAAATCTGAAAACTTGAAAACTGCCGTAGCTCAATATCAAGAATAACATTAACATGTCGAATGCAAAAAAAAACATTGTTTAAATTTACAAAATTCAACTTTGAATTTTTGATCTTACTTGATGGTTGCGAGTGTCTCGTCAGTATGAACACTGTCAGATTTCACCAGTTTACTTCGAAGTTTTTGCCGCGCCATGTTTGATTCTTTGGCTGGATTTCTAAATAGTATTTGTATATTATAGAAACAGTGGAGATTGTAAAACTGTTGACAAAGAAAGACGACAATTAGACTAAATTTATGATTTTAATTAGTCCAATGGACATGAAAAAGTGGTATTGTGTACTTTGTAGAGTACAACAGGCCTTTCTCACATAAGTTGTTTTTTAAACGTTATGTTTCAGACAATGAAATAAACAATTTCTCAATTTTATGGCGATATTTAAAAATCTAAAATAGCCATAAACTTTTGTACTATTATTAAAGACATAGATTTAGAATTTACATAATTAAAAAGTATTTGAAAAAAATACTTATAACAAACATTAACATTTTCCAAAATGAGAAATTTTTTAATTTTAAAAACAAGACATTTTTTTCAGTCAAAATTGTTTAATTTTAACCAGGTCATGTCAGTGAGTTGCCATAAAACAGATTGGGTCCGATCTTTTTAGTCGTTTTGATGTTTACTGGATGCACACAAACAGACAGACAGACAGATAAAATAAATATATAAAAAATATAGATACCCTTGTAGTTCAGGCTCCGACTTTAAAATTCTCTTGGAATGTTTAGGGGCAGTGTTTTCTATAAAATCATCTTTTTTCTGTTGATGATGTTCTTCTCGTTTCTCTTGAACAGCGTGCCCTTTTATACTGAAAATAAAAAAATAAGAACACAAAATTTAATGTTATTCCTAGAGATCTTAAAGTTTCAGACTCTTTTGTTTTAAGTTTCAATGTTTCTTTGGTTAAAAAAATATTTTAAGATTAATTGCTTGTATTGTGATTTTATGAAATATGATTTTATTTAAAATATGTCACCCAATCCTAACATTTTGTATGTAATATCGAACAAACATGGATATGTTCATAATTTCGAGCAAAATAGTCGTCATTTCGACAGTCGACGTCGTGTATATCAATACAATGAAGACAACTTTCGATTTCAATTTTGTATTACTATAACCAAGCTTTTCAAACAGCATGGATGCGCATAATCATTGACACCAAGTAAAGCTGTCAATTAATACCTTCTAATTGTATAATTGTAAACTTGTAAATATGAAAAGAAGATATTGTTAGAATTCAAAACTTAATAAAGAAGTCGTCTTCATTGTTTTTATATGAACGCCGACCCCTGTAACTATTATTATTATTATTATTCTATTCAGACATTTTAAAGATAGTTTTTAACATTTTCTCTTTAACGGACAGAAATTTATAAAAAAAAACACCCCGAGTAGAACTATTTATATTACTTCAAGAAAGTAATAAAAATGTATTTTGAGACTCCTGATCTTCTGCAATTCTTTTATTTTATGCACCCTAACTTTTGTGATTTTTCTTTAAATTTTCTCAAAAGTTTTCTAGAACGAGGTGCTTTATATTAAAACAATGAAATGTATTTAAACTTGACGTTTATATTTACTAAATAGTTAGTTACTAGATAGTTAATTACTAGATAGTTAGTTACTAGATAGTTAGTTACTAGATAGTTAGTTACTAGATAGTTAGTTACTAAATAGTTAGTTACTAGATAGTTAGTTATTAGCTAGTTAGTTACTAAATAGTTAGTAACTTGATAGTTAGTTACTAGATAGTTAGTTACTATGATAGTTAGTTACTAGATAGCTAGTTACTAGATAGTTAGTTCCTAGATAGTTAGTTACTAGATAGCTAGTTACTAGATAGTTAGTTACTAGATAGCTAGTTACTCGATAGTTAATTACTAGATAGTTAGTTCCTAAATTGTTAGTTACTAAATAGTAAGTTACTGGATAGTTAGTTACTAGATAGTTAATTACTAGATAGCTAGTTACTAAATAGTTAGTAACTAGATAATTAGTTACTATATAGTTAGTTACTAGATAGTTAGTTACTAGATAGTTAATTACTAGATAGTTAGTTACTAGATAGTTAATTACAAGATAGTTAGTTACTAGATAGCTAGTTACTAAATAGTTAGTAACTAGATAGTAAGTTACTATATAGTTAGTTACTAGATAGTTAGTTACTAGATAGTTAATTACTAGGTAGTTAGTTATTAGATAGTTAGTTGCTAGATATCTAGTTACTAGATAGCTAGTTACTAGATAGTTAGTTACTAGATAGTTAATTACTAGATAGTTAGTTACTAGATAGTTAGTTACTAGATAGTTAGTTACTAGATAGTTAGTTACTAAATAGTTAGTTACTAGATAGTTAGTTACTAGATAGTTAGTTACCTACTAATTGGAGATTTTTCATATTCTCTATTTGTAAATATTCTCTTCTGTTTTTTACTGCTTCTATTCTCCTAAATAATTATTTGAAATAGAAACAGTAAAAAATTTGTGTAATGATATGTTTGCAAAAAAGGATAATAAACAAAATGCATCCCAGGTTCTTGTTTTAAACTTTATCTTATGCAGTATATAATATTTTAAGAACTTTTAAATATAAATACCCTTTTTTTAAACTGTTAAAAAGGTTGCACTTACAGACTGAAAGAAAGGCATGTCCGGATCTCAAAAAAATCTTAAAGCTTTCTTTGATAAAAACTAATAAAACAGCGTTGTTTTCTCTTTAAAAATTAGTTATTTTCAATTGTGGTTTCTCGAATAAAAGTGAATTGCAGTTTTATGATGCAGAAACAATAAGAAAATTTTCAGAATTTATATGTTCAGCAAAAAAAACGATGACGTTTTCTCAAAGAGAATAAAATATATATTAGAGGGGAAATTACAAGAAAAAAATGTAAAACGGCCATTTTGTTGTACTGTTTCCATACTGCAGGTGTACTTTACATATTTATGTTATATAACCTTTTGGGCCCTGGAATATTATTTTATAGAAAATCTAAATTTAATGTTAAAAGAAAACCAAATTATGAAATAGGCTGGTTTCATAATTGACCAATGATCATTTCACATAGACTCTATGCCTTCCACTTTACAAACGACATGATTTTCCGTTATAACTATAAATCAAATGATGTTTTTTATTCACCTAATTCATTATAAAGTTTATTTAAGAGCTTTAAAAAATTCGAAATTGAAATGAATAGTCTAGGAAACATACTGTATTAATGTACTCTACTGCATATAGATTGTGAACATTTACATGATTTGTACACTTTGAACTCCCTTTCAGGCTGAAAGGGACTGAAAAAATTCATACCGAGAGATTCTCTGAATTCCCCTCTAATAGATATTCTATTCTCTATGTGTTTTCTACATCAGTGATCAGAGCCACTTGGAATTACGTCTCCAGTCCCTTGGCTTCTATTTTTTCTTTAAAAAGTGTTTTTAATATTTTTCAATGTATTCTTATAGTTTGTGTAAGTTTTATTTGCAGAGAAAGTAATAGTAATAAACAGTATCGAGTTAACCTTGGTTAAACTGAAATTAACCTTGATTTGATCAATGTCAGAAATATCAGAAATATCAGAAATATGGTATGAAGTAAGAAAAAACAATTCTGCAACATGTCATGTCCGGTATAAGAGTTTACTTCATATATCTTGAGTGTCTGCCTAAAGTTTGGGTGTTTGCATTGTTTGCATGTTTGTATTTAATAAACGAGAAACGCGGCTCTGTATCGATCCGGTCCATGAAAAGTTTCGACATTGACTTTACAAGGCTTTTAGGGCGCTTCGCGCCCATCTTTTTTCAACTTTTAATTGCGGCTTTATTTGTGTGCATCTTCTCTTTGTACAGTATAAAAAAATTTAAAATTTTCGGATTTCACAATATTTTTTCGCGCATTTTCAAAATTTTACTAAATTAAATAATTTAAAATAAAAAATTTTAAGTTTACAAGTTTAAAGTCTGATTGGCCATAAACCTTCCCTGGGGCCACGTGAGGTCCCACCCAAAATTTGGACCTAATCGGTTCAGCCGTTTCAAAGTTTAGTGGATACTAACAAACATACAAACAAACAAACAAACAGAAATTTATTTATAGATTATTGTTAAAATTCGAAATCCGCGAAAATTTATTTTTATTGAAGAACGATGAAAATGTAATAAAATACTTGACGCTACAGAGTACTCACAGCCCTACCAGACTTATAACCAAATATTATTGAATTTTGTCTGTTTTTCATGAACACACGTCACCTTTTTAATTGGAGGAGGATACTTTGTAATAACTTGGAGGGCTTCCTTCCTTTCACCAGTTTCTAAATTTGTCATGAATTAACAGTAAATTTGTAATCAAAAGATTTTTCTTTAAACTAAGGTTAAAAAATTTCAATTTTATCAACCCCCCCCCCCCCTCACCCGTTTCTAGAATCTAAAAAGGTTAAGCGCCCCCCCACTACCCCCCACCCATCGAAAAAAAAGTGACGACAAAAAGTATTTATTATTTTTGTAATTATTAACTATTTTAGGATTCATGCATGCCTAAAGTTCTTTTAAAAGGCATTGCTTTCAGTCCATTATCTAACTCATGTCTAAGGTGTGAATCAAGCCGGCCATTTTCTTCCTGATGTGCGTGGCCATTTTGTTTGAATCCGTTGGAAGCTTTGTGATGAACAGCTGATTGCTTTGGGGGATTTGGGGCTTCAGACATACTGTCCCAGTCCGATTCAGAATCAGAATTCATTATTTCTCTAAAAAAAGAAAAAGTTTTTAAAAAAATCACACTTTTAAACTTTAAAACTGTAGTCGTAAATTCAAGAGACCATCTCACGGTAAAGTCCAGTTTATTTTCAATTACTGGGCCAACTGTTAAGGGAGCAGGACAGTGAGCTGTACAGTACATATACAGACCGTACAAGACAAAACTGGACGGTACGCCAAATTAGGTCCCTATAGGGAAAATATAGTGATCTATTTAAAAGCAAAGAGCGTATTTCCGATTTCAACGATATCCTCGAACCTCTTTCAGAGAAAAAATAAGGAAGATATTTTAATTTTTTATTGAGAAAAATGTTTAATTCTGAAAACATCCTTCATGGTCTCTGCAGCATAAATTTTCAACTCACTTTAGAAGAGAATCCATATTTGAAAATAATACATGTTTAGCTAGAACAATATATCAGAAAAATATTTCAAGGGTATTGTTGCAAATAGAGATTGACGCTAATGATAAATAGAAATCACATTCATACTCTTTAAAAGCAGACCGATCTTCAAATCAAATAAACGAATATTTCATTGTATAGTTTTTTAACATGACCACTTCTTAAATAATTAAAACAATAGTAAAGAACAAGAAAACTCTGGAATAGGAAGACGACTTTTAGACTCAAGTTTTGACTTTGATTAGTCCAATAAACATAAGCCACAGCAATTGAACAGTGTAAACAGACCAAATTAACTTATAATACGAGATTTAATAAGTTACGTTAATAGTAAAACTATTTGTTTTGAAACAACATCAAATACAGTTAGATATTGCTACAATGCCATCTTCCAATTCCACAGTTTTCTAACTTTCCCTGCAGATACACTGCTCAGTTCTCTTATTCACAAGTTAAACTTTCTTAAGATTTACCAAAAAATATAGAGAACCGTTTTTTCTAAAAAAAATAATGATCAAATCTGGTTTAAAGCCGATTGAGGAAAAGCAATTTGACAATTGTGCAAATTCAGTTTAACATTTAAGTATGACCCTGGCAGGGGGAATTAGACCAAATTTACCATAAGATTGTTTATAGTATTGATTTGTATCTATGTCTGGTGTGTAGACTGTACGCTGTATATCCATGTCTGGTATGTAGACCAAACACTGTAATTCCATGTCTGGCATGTAGAACAAACACAGTATTTCCATGTCTGGTATGTAGACCATGCACCATATGTCCATGTCTGGTATGTAGACCAAACACTGTAATTCCATGTCTGGCATGTAGAACAAACACAGTATTTCCATGTCTGGTATGTAGAACAAACACAGTATTTCCATGTCTGGTATGTAGAACGTACATATATCCATGTATGGTATGTAGACCATGCACCATATATCCATGTCTGGTATGTAGATCGTACACCGTATATTCGAGTCTGGTATGTAGACTGTACACCGTATTCCATGTCTGGAATGTTTGATGTAAACAACAAATCTATGTCTGGTATGTATTATGTACAAAATATATTCATGTCTGGCATGCATGATGTGCAGTGTATATCCATATGTCTGGTATGTATATCGTACACCGTATATCCGTGTCTGGTATGTAGACTGTACACCGTATATTCGTGTCTGGTATGTAGATTGTACACCGTATATTTATGTCTGGTATGTAGATTGTACACCGTATATTCGTTTCTGGTATGTAGACTGTACACCGTATATCCATGTCTGGTATGTAGATCGTACACCCTATATCCTTATGTCTGGTATGTATATCGTACACCGTATATATCCGTGTCTGGTATGTAGACTGTAAGTCTCTACACCGTATATCCATGTCTGGTATGTAGACTGTACACCGTAAAACTAAGGAATGTGAGAAGGATTCATAATAACTATATTCCCTTTATTACGGTAACTATAGTAACCATTTATATACCTTGCTTTCTGCACAATACATCTATATATATATAATCATGCCTTCTCTATTAGATTGTATATTTGTATCTATAAAATTTTGAAACGGATGAATCGAAGTATTTGTTATAGCCCAAGAGTTGTTTAGTTTAGCTGTGATCTTAGAAATACGTACATATTTCACACATTTAGAAACTCGCAGACAAACAGAAACTACGAAAGATAGGTATTAATTTACTAGTCTAGATTTCAAGTAACAATCATTTCCCACAAAGCCTTTCTCCCTATTATAAAATGATTTTAATCTATGATTTGATAACATATTTATTTAATAATATATCTATTTGATAACATATTTATTTAATAATATATCTATTTGATAACATATTTATTTAATAATATATCTATTTGATAAAACATTTATTTGGACTCTCTGTATCTTGTATGAAATTCAAAAATTCATATTTATGTTATTTTCTTTGAAAATTAATAATAGTATACAGTTACATAGACGAATGCAAGCGTTTTTGCGGAAAAAAGGCGTTTCATCCTTTATAAAAGACAGACGTTCAAGTAATACTTTGAATAGTCACATAAAACAGCGTCTGCAGCCCCTTTAAAGTCATAATTTGTCGCCACATTTATTTGGACACCCTGTATTTCCCACCTGATATATCATGAAATACAGAGTGTCCCACGAAACATGACAGTTGGTGAATAGTTTTTTATACTGTATTAGATATTGAAGTCTTTTTTAGTTTTTTAGTTTATTTCTTTTACTCAAATATGTTTTACTTTAAAATCAATTTTACTATGATTTGGATATCATATTTTTTATTATTCTCTTTTGTATCAAACAACTTAACAAATTATGAAAGAAGACATTTTAAGCTTTTCACCAAATGTCATGTTTTGTGGGACTCCCTGTACTTTCCCCTGTATTGCAGTAAAATATAAGCTCTGTTGCAGATACTAAACTTATAATTGTTATATCACTAGAAACCCGGAGTAGAAACTTCAAGGGCCTAGCCAGAGCCCAATATTTAAGACAGAGTTTCGTTTTGAAACCCAGTATCGGAAACCGGGTTTCACGAATGGGATGGGATAAGGCAGTTTTGTAGATGTCAACATTTTTTTCATACTCTTAAATGTGGCCAATCCGCCCTGTCAGAATTCTAGATACGGTCAGTAAAAAAAAAGTTTAAAACATTTTTTAAAATTTCCAAAAAAAGGAAAAAAGAAAAATTTTATTTTTATTGTTTATCATAGATACTATAGGAAAACCATGTAAAACAGGAAAAGATTGTTATTTTTATTAAAGAAATTTTGTCCGAGAAACTCTAGGATGGACATTCCGGACTTATAATGTATGGAATACAAATGTTATGAAAAACTGAGAAAATTAAGTTAAATATTTAAATTACTGAAGTTTTGTGTCATCGAGATAGGATGGGTAGATTTGCAAATTTCTGTGTCTATGCATTTTTAGAGCTATGTTAATTGTAACAAATATTATTTTCGTAGTTTATATTCTCTTTTTATTTTTATTTCTTAATGTATAAATCTGCACAAATGTATATACCACAAAAAAGGAAACTTGGGATTTTTGTAACTTGAAGGAAAGTGGTTCAACAGGGTTTTTCGTTAACGTTACTTCCACACTCATTTATCATCCTTGAAACATCAGATTTTAAAGCTTCTGTTTGAGAAAAAAATTCAACATCAAAATTTCGATATTTCAACAGTTCCATTTTTGTTTAGGTCGAAGGTTTTTCGTAAAAGAAAGGAAATAGAAATAGCGCTGGTATTGCATGTGAAAGCCAATCACACTGCTTTGCAGACGGGTTCCTTATCACAAACGCACATTCTTTTGGCACAGACACACACACATGACTACAGTCAAGGAAAGTGCAGAACAATGTCGTCAATTATAATTTAGCTGGAATAACGAGTAGTTTATTGTAAATTTTAATCAAGTTATATTCTCTGCATGAAAATTTGGATTGTAGTGTTGACTTGAATATATAAATAATATGTTACATGCATAGAGAATAGAATATATAGAGAAGAATTAAAAGAATCTCTCGGTATGAAATTTTTCAGTCCCTTTCAGCCTGAAAGGGAGTTCAAAGTGTACAAATCATGTAAATGTTCACAAATTATATGCAGTAGAGTACATTAATACAGTATGTTCCCTAGACTATCCATTTCAATTTCGAATTTTTTAAACTGTTAAATAAACTTTATAATGAATTATGTGAATAAAAAACATCATTTGATTTATAGTTATAACGGAAAATCATGTCGTTTGTAAAGTGAGAGGCATAGAGTCTATGTGAAATGATCATTGGTCAATTATGAAACCAGCCTATTTCATAATTTGGTTTTCTTTTAACATTAAATTTAGATTTTCTATAAAATAATATTCCAGGGCCCAAAAGGTTATATAACATAAATATGTAAAGTACACCTGCAGTATGGAAACAGTACAACAAAATGGCCGTTTTACACTTTTTTTCTAGTAAATTCCTCTCTATATTTTCTATTCTCTATGGTTACATGTATATTAAACTTGTTTTTAAATAAACAATTAACAATAAACAAATGTACTCTCCTAGACTGTATAAATACCGAGATTTCTGTACTTTATACAGCGACAGTACACCACTTCGGTTCCTTATAACACATGTACACTCTTTTAATACTGACACACACACATGACGTTTCCGCCCCCTGTTTTATTTTGCTTTAGATTTACATTCATGACATTATCTCATCAATTCATAAATAAATAGGATGCCCAAAAGTAAGTTAATAAATACAAACGAATACAAAATATAAGAAAACAATAATTAAGAAAATGCAGCAACACACATATTAAAACAACGTTACATTTCATTATTTTAAAAAAAATGTTGAAAGATAATTATAGGAATAAATCAGATAAAGTAAGCAAAGATTTAAAAAAAATATGCTGGCTTATGACAAGAATCCAGCAAAGGTTTATCAGCTGTTTAAAGCATTCCAGGAGATACTCCACCAAGTAGGCCTATTATCAGCGGCTCAGAAAGTTACACAGAGAATATAAGTTTATTTGTGAACAATTTTCTGAAACCCCTTTTTAACTTACACCTTTCTTATCTTCAGGTTACTCCATATTTTCTTCTTAGCATGAATTACAATTCATCAATTGTTTTTCGTCTGCCATAGTCCGAGCTAAAGCTATATCTAGAGAAGTTGCTTTAAAGAAAGTGGAGAAAAAGGAGAAACCAGATCGAGTTATATTCTCTATCTCATTTAATCCTCAACTGCCTTGTATTTCCTCCATCGTAAAGAAACATTGGAGAACCATGATCCAGGATCCTTGGATGAAGGAGGTTTTTCAAAATCCACATATGGTTACCTATAGGAGACCTCCTATTCTCAGGGATAAACTTATCCGAGCCAGAATTCCATATCCTCCTAGAATGAGGCCAAAGAGGCTAATGCCTGGTATGAAACCTTGTGGTTTAAATTGCCCAACTTGTCCCTACATAGAGCCTGGAATAGTTATACAATCCTCTAATACCAGCAAGAAGATTGAGATTAATGGAACTTTCAACTGTAAGACCAGAAATGTAGTTTACTGTATTACATGTGAGCAGTGTAAACTACAATATAGGACAGACATCAAGATCTTTAGATGACAGAGTGAGAGAACATGTTGGTTACATTAGAGATCTGCATACAAACCAGCCTACAGGAGAACATGTTAACCTTCCTGGTTATGAACTCTACCATATAAAAGTTAGCGTTCTAGAGAAGGTTTGGGACCTTGGAGAAGTTTACTTGAAGTACGAGAATCTAAATACATTAGAAATTTTATGACTGAACTCAGAGGAATGAATAGAAAAAAAATAGTTTTTATTTAATTGTAATCTGTAATTTAGTATCTTTTTTTAAAAGAAAGAGTATTGTTTATATCCAATTCTTTAAAAGGTTCAAATACCCATCCTTAAACTAGCCGCCCCCCCCCCCTAGTACGTAAAAGTTTGTTAATTAGATCGAACCCACCACCACTTTATACACAATACACATACATGTCAACAGCTTGTTTTTAATCTTCCTTACATATAGAAACAATCTGAAGGATTAATAATTGTCTTAAAACATTTTTAAAAAGTGCATATTTGCAAATTATCTTTTTTCATCTTATGATCTGTGTTCGTTTCCCTTTTGTCAATTTGACAGCCAAATTTTCTTTTTAAATAATCTGTTTTGTTTGTTTATTTTCTTGTTGTTTTAACATTTTTTTATCGATTTTGATGGTTATTATTGTATCATTAGAACTGACGAGTGTCAACCCAGACCGAAATATATTTGTAATGAATGTGGAATTCTAGCATCTACTTTTTTTACTCTACATATGATTTGGTCCACCACCATCGCCGAATTTTAAATAAAAAGAAAGTGTTTCTATATTTACGCTTGGCACATGTACAACTCCATTTTGCATTATTGCATGGAACAAATATTACAGTGAATCTAGAAATACTTAGAAAGCTAGACACTTCAAGATAGATAGATGGATTAAAATTTTGAAATGAAAATTATCAACAAACTTTTTTTAAAATCTTGTCTTTAGGATTCTGCAGATATATTTCTAAATATTGTATTTGTAAATTGTAATGTATAGTTGGGGGAATATTTCCCCTTGCTTCAAGCCAGTAGAAGCAGATACTGCACCAAGAGAAAGGGGAGGGAAAGTTCTAATTTTATTTTTACCCCACTCTTCCTTCTCCTCACTAGTACTCAGTACTCTTCCTTCTCCTCACTAGTACTCAGTACTCTTCCTTCTCCTCACTAGTACTCAGTACTCTTCCTTCTCCTCACTAGTATACTCAGCACTCTTCCTTCTCCGAACTAGAATTCATAACTCTTCCTTCTCCTAGTGTACTCATGGTACGCTTCCTTCTTCTCACTAGAACTCAGTACTCTTCCTTCTCCTCTCTACCTTCTCCTAGTGTACTCAGTACATTCCTTCTCCTAGTGTACCCAGTTCCGTCTCCTGGTGTCCTCAGAAATCTTCCTTCTCCTGGTGTCTTAAGTAATCTTCCTTCTCCTAATGTACTCAGTACTCTTCCTTCTCCTCACTTTTAGACAGTACTCTTTCTTCTCCTAGAGTCCTCAGTGCTCTTTCTTCTGTTCACTAGTACACAGTCCTCTTCCTTCTTCTAGTGTGCTCAGTACTCTTCCTTCTCCTAATGTACTCATTACTCTTCCTTTTTCTAGTGTACTCAGTACTCTTTATTTTAAAAGTTTCTTCAGTACTCATCCGTCTCCTAGTGTACTCAGTACTCTTTCTTCTAGTGTCCTCAGTACTCTTCCTTTTACTCACTAGTACCCAGTACTCTTCCTTCTCCTAATGTACTCAGTACTCTTGCTTCTACTCAATAGTACACAGTAATCTTCCTTCTCCTAGTGTCATCAGCACCCTTTCCTTCTCCAAGTGTACTCAGAACTGTACCTTCTCCTAGTGTACGCAGTACTCTCCTTATCCTTACTAGTACTCATTGCTCTTCCTTCTCCTAGTGCACTCAGTACTCTTCCTTCTCCTAGTGCACTCAGTACTCTTCCTACTCCAAGTGTTCTCAGTACTCTTCCTACTCTTATACATGGATATTTATCATCTTTTCTTATTCATTTCCTGCCTTATACATGGATATTTTTCTTATTTTCTTATTCATTTCCTGTCTTATACATGGATATTTATCATCTTTTCTTATTCATTTCCTGTCTTATACATGGATATTTATCATCTTTTCTTATTCATTTCCTGCCTTATACATGGATATTTTTCTTATTTTCTTATTTATTTCCTGTCTTATACATGGATATTTTTCATATTTTCTTATTTATTTCCTGTCTTATAAATGGATATTTATCCTATTTTCTTATTCATCCCCTGTCTTATACATGGATATTTATCATATTTTCTTATTCATTCCCTGTCTTATACATGGATATTTATCATATTTTCTTATTCATTCCCTGTCTTATACATGGATGTTTCTCATTCTTTCTCAGTCGTTTCTTATCCTTCCTCTTCCATGGGTCTTTACAATATATATATGGAAAGGAATTCACGTATAGTATATATAAATAAATATATTTAAGGAACCAGCTCTGAATTAAAACATATTAATGTATTTTAGGATTTTACTATACATGAAATTTCATGCCTTGCGAAAATCCTCAAAAATAAATATAAATATTTATTACTACTTATAATTGGTTAGACCCATGAAACATTTTGTCTTGGAAGAAATATATATTTAAACATCTAAAATGTATATTTAAACTGAACAAAGTTGAAAATACTAAATAGATATATATACAGACGTTTGACATCCTTTCTCTTACACTTGCTGGTTTATAAATAGATATACTCTTACACTTCTAGTTATATATATACTCATCCTTACTGTCTTACTTCAATTGCTCTGAAATTTGAGGAGTTGTAAATTTAATTGAAAACATGTCAAATTTCAATCTTACGTGCAAGTTACTTTAATTTGACGTGTTCTCCTGTATTTATTCTTATTCATAGAAATATATATCTTCATTCTTCATGCTTAATCCTACAAGCAGTTCACCCTTTATCCTTTATTCTTTTAACCATCAATTGTGCAATGTACACAGACCATTTTCACTTAATAACGTGGTTTTCAAGTTATCATGGTAAAACTATAAGAACATAAAACATAAGGTTGCTGAAATGACGTTTACCTATTCCACAATTGTCTTAGTACTGGATTTGTTAGCCCTTTTTCTCCTTCTATAAAACTTTTTTGCCTGAAAAACATCCTGAGCGCAACGAGGAATTCTTTGTTATACAAATTTTTACTTTTTAGTAATAATCATCATTCATCATTCTTTCTTTGGCTCAAATATAAATATTCTCTTCATTTATAATTCATTTTTAAATAACTAGGCTTTTATAGTAATATTCATCATTCTTCATTCTTTCTTTGGCTCAAACATACATATTCTCTTTCTTTATAATTCATTTTTAAATAACTAGGCTCAGATAAAAATGAGTGTAAAATTTGAAGAATTATATGAGACAGATGAACTTGAGGATTTGAATGAACTCCTTGCACAGCTCCCAGGTAAAAGATATTTGTCAACGTGACTTTACGTTTTTTGAGTGACATATTTGATGCACAACGGTACTCCTAAAAGCTTTGTCTGAATTAGAACGAATGAATGAATATGTCTTTTCTCATAGAAAATTGATTATTTTAAATTTTGGTGTCCTACGAATTTCTTTCAGAGAAAAAATTGAAAAAAATTGTGTAAACATTAGTAATGAGATTAGGGTTTAAATGGCACTGCTTTGCATCGGACATGGTCATCTGTAAATGAAAGGGTACTTGAAATTACAACAACAGAGGCCGAATTTAAAGAATTTGAGCCGCGGCTTAAATATTGTTGGTTCCACTTAAAATTGTATTGAATTTTTCAATATTTAAGCCGGCGCTCAATTGAAATCGGTTTTTGGTTGATTTTAGACGCGGCTTAAATTCATTAAATTCTGACGCAGGTCCATTAAGTTCTAGTCATTTTCTCTTGGTACTTTTTGTTTGAACTTTTCAACAACTTTTCTAACAAAATAATAATGTTAAGTTAAAAAAAGTTAATAAAGGTAAAATTTTAGTTTATAGAAATACTTTTAAATAAGCTATACAGTGGGACCCATAATAAAGGAACAACATTTTAATAATCTGTTGTGTATTTGATGTTTTTAATAGGAAAATAGTTTAATCAGTAACTGGAAAATTTACTTATTAAGTGAAAAGGTCTGTAGGTAGACTCTATATAGCTGGATTATTTGAAATAAATACTTGATGCTAAATACACCCTTATATTTACATAATGTTGATGTTGATTTCAGATGTTGATGAATTAGAGGGATTTACAACAGTTTACAACAGAGCTAGAACTCTGTTCTGCGATGATTCAACTCTTCTCGACGAATTTGCAGCTTTGAAAACACATCTTGAGAGAGTTCTATTCATGTCAGAACTTCAGGTGAGTGCTGTTAAAGGGACTGTGACTCTAAAGTGAGAGGTCCGATTTAGATTTAGATTTAGAACGGGACCCTTTAAACCTTAATATCTGAGTAGCAATGCAGAAGATATAGTCGGTGTCCTGTCTTAAAAACTGAAAATCTTATTTATCAATGAACTGACTAAGATTGTATGGGTATCTTTATGAATTGAACATGCCACTCAATGGAGAGTCTTTTATTAAAACAATAAAAAACATCATAAAAATCTTATTTTCTAGGTTGTCAAAGATGCTCTTAACAACCTGAAATGCATCCGTCAAACCCCAGCAGAACTAAACCCTACCCAGCTACCAAACCAAACCCCAGCAGAACTAAACCCTACCCAGCTACCAAATCAACTAAAATCAACGAATGTCCCTCCCCTGCTCCTAGGAGGACCGAATAAGAAATACCCGCATATGTCCAAGGCTATTGAGGTAAAAAATTACAATAAATATATATACTTAACGTGAATGTTGATATGTTTGTATCCAATAAACGTCAAAACGGCTGAACCGATCGGGTCCTAATTTTGTGTGGGACCTCACATGACCCCATGGAAGGTTTAGGATGCTCGAAATTACAAAAAATATGTCCAACAGTTTTTGAATTTAGTAAAATTTTGAAAATGCGCGAACAAATATTATTAATCCGCGAACTTTTTTATTATTGTTTTTTATTGTACAAAGAGAAGATTGAAATAGAAGATGGGCGCACAGCACCCTAAAAGCCTAGTTATTTACATTTGTTTAATGAAAACCAGAAACCAGAATGAATATCGTCTTCGTTTTTCCTTTTTACTTCAAAAATGTAACTAATGATTTAGTAATTTACAATTTCTAAAAATGTGCAGAGCACATAAAAAAATGGTTCAGTTGCAAATAAAAAAAAAAAAATTTCGATTGTTTTAGGTTTTACTGTAGTCACTAAATCGGTAAGAAGAGAACCACAAACTCTAATAATTATAATTATAATCCCTTTATCTTTGAAATCTTTAATATTTCAAACTTTCAGAATTTCTATTTCAAAATACCAAAGATCTTATAAATCATCTGTTGCAAAGATATAAGGATTATATATTTAGGGTATGAGGGATATATCAGTTCGTTTAAAGGGACTGTAAGCGAAATTTCAAGTGACCTTTCGCTTACAGTCTCTTTAATATACATTTTATAAAGGTAAAAAGTTCAAAGAGCGAGGGAAGGTATCTAGCCGCAGTTCAGAGGATTTCACCTGGCGATGTTTTAATAGTTGATAAACCTTATATAACATCCCTCTTCCCTGCACATTATTCTTCACATTGTCTTGCCTGCTTTAAAAGGAAGTATTGTGATATGTTTTGATTAGTTTTCTTTACAACAAATCAGAGTAAATGATTTTGGAATTTTATCTGTTTGATTCATTTATCTGTTTGATTCATAATTTATCTGTTTGATTCATAATTTATCTGTTTGATTCATAATTTATCTGTTTGATTCATAATTTATCTGTTTGAGTTTGATTCATAATTTATCTGTTTGATTCATATTTTATCCTTAAAAGTATAATTTTCCAAATTATCTGAAGAAACTAATTCTGCAAAAATATTAAAACAAAGAATAGTTAATATTTATCTTGAGAATTATGAGTGATATAAATGCGAAAAAGCTTATTGTATATAATGTGAGCAGATTTATAAAAAAAAAAAATTTAATAGATTTTGTGTCCACCACCCTCTTCTCTTCGCCCTGTATTTTAATTTATCTCTCCGTAATGCCTCTTATCTCACCCTGCCACAGATCACCTGACAATCTCTTTCCTCCCAATCAACTCCCTACCTACCTATCAACTCCCTACCTCCCAATCAACTCGCTACCTACCTATCCCAAAAAAATAATTTGATTTGCGTACATAATTATGTTTTCAAATATCGTCAACTAAATTAGGGCCAACCACTTAAAACAACCTACTATGTTTTTTTTCTGAAAAGCTATTGTTTTTAAAAAAGATCGTTTTTTAATCGTCGTTTTCAAAACGAAACGATCGTTTTTCAAAAGAGTGGAAACGATCTAACTCAAATTGAAAGGACAACAGACTGTCCCTTATGTTTATTTTATTTAGATTGTCAGAGGACTTTTTAAAATGCCCTTCTTGCCTGAAGGTAATATAAAAGTAATTTTTAGTTTTTATTTTAAACCAACAAATTCTTTCAAAATTCAAATGTTAGATTGAAAAATGTACAAACAAACTTAGATATATTTTTTTTAATGATAAATACTAAGAATATTTTCACATTCTTTTAACATTTTCTTTTTCGGAGAAAATTTCAACTTTTTAACTTTCAGAATATATATTCAGAAACATATTGACTAAAGTGGTTTTGGAAAAAATATTAATGTAATAAATTCATGGATATAGTGTATAGTTTACCTATCTGTATTATCTATGTTTCTATTCGACCCTGCCCGGTCCGACCGGCCATCAATCAATTTTTTACCTGTTATAAATAAATTAGTATTAAAGTACAAATCTTTGTTTTACACGGACGTGTTTAGCCTGGTTAAGCTAGGAAGATAGTCAGGATTGACTTAAGATTTAGATTTAGAGACAAGTAGCTAAGTAATACGACCTAGATTGTTTCATGAATATGATATAATGTTTATAAAAGAGTTTTTTCTGCTTGACCTTTAAATATGTTTAAATATGTTTAAATATGTTTAAATATGTTTAAATATGTTTAAATATGTTTAAATATGTTTAAATATGTTTAAATATGTAATATGTTTAAATATGTTTAAATATGTTTAAATATGTTTAAATATGTAGGTAAGATTTTGTGATACAAGTTGCTACACATCCTGCTTCAAGAAAACACATAAGTAAGGAATTAAGTAAATTCATCAAAGCAATTGAGGTTTTGCCACAAACTCAAATTTTCAAATCCTTATATCTATTGATGTAAAACTTCCCAAGGACCCAAGTGACAACATCCCAAATGTTCCATTTCCCAAGTCTTTCTTAGCCGCAGCGCTCGGCCCCAGCCTGTTCTAGCCGCAGCGCTCGGCCCCATGGCACATTTAACCGCAGCGTTCGGTCCCCATTGCAGCCTGCGGCGCCTCAGAGGGCCTAACCTAACCACTGGGAAGTTACCGCTTGGGAAATTGCACATTTGGGAAGTTGCCACTTGGGAAATTGTCACTTGGGAAGTCGCCCTTTGGAAAATGACTTTGGGAAATTACCTAACACCAGAGATTAGACTATTTAAATCACAACTTGAATTTTAAAGTCGTCTTCTTATTATACAGATTTGTGGTTCTTACTGTATTAACTCTGTGTAGGTGGGAATGCGAAGTTTTGGAATTGATAGACAACGATGAAATTGGTAGAATGGCAGCTATGGCATACAGAATTGTTTCACAAACAGGTCAAATGTGTGTGCGAAATTAAGCCAGTATGTTAGGGTTATCTCACAAAATTTAGCATATCGCTAGTATCAAGTTCGTAATTTTAAGCAAAATATTCGTCATTCTTTCGTTATTATGAAGGAATTTTCTAATCCCTAAATCTTTTCAACCTGATGGTGCAAACCTTTCATATTTTAAAATTAGACTAATTGAATGTGAACCAACAGAATTCATAATTTGAGATAGCTATGGTCTACGATCTCAGGTTGCAAAGATATAAGGATTAGAAAATCGGAGTTTGTGGCAAAGACTCAATTCCTTCAATGTTATAACCTCAATACTAAAATTTGTATGTAGGGTCACCCGAAATTACGCGTACATTCCCTTTTACTTTGTTTTACATTCTATCCAAGTTGTTGAGGTATTGTGCTGCAATTGCAGCAGACACTATATAGCTAGGACAACACTTACAATGTTGCAGCATTTAAACTTCCCTCAAATTCATGAATAGAAATAGTTTACAAACATCTTTAGTCTTTTATTCAATAAATATACAAATCATACGAAACTGTATAAATAGAATTATAAGAACTAACGTGTGTGACTGAATATTTGAACCTGAGGCCGGATTCAAATTTGCGACGCGGATCAAACATGGTTGGTTTCACTTAAAATTGTATTCAATGATTCGAAATTTGAGCCGGCGCTCAATTGGAACCGATTTTTGGCGGTTCAGCTACGCGGTTTATATCTTTAAAATTGGCCTCGAGATATTAATATTTTTAATTTATAAAAAAAAATAAAATGTATAAATGCTGTATCTTGAAGGTTTTGAGTTTCTAAGCAGTATTTCTGATAAACTTGGAAGGAGTGAGGGGACGTACACAGAGGGAGATTATTTAGCAGTTTATAACCAGGTTTGTCTAGCTCTATATAGATTAAAGGAAATGCAGACGAATTGTTAAGTAACCCGACAGTTCGATTCACAATAGTACCCTTAACAGCTTTGTCTGAATGAGAGCAGGTTTTTCTTTTTTAATATCAAAAATTTGTATGTATTTTTTTCAACGAATCTCGAATTTCTGTAGAAGAAACAATGGAGGAAGTTGATAAAACTTTACAATTTTCAAGCTAGGAAAAACTTGTTATCTTTCATAATATTGACTATAGAAAGATTTAATGGTGGCGTTGTTACATGTGTTTTTAAATAGTGGTTACTTGAAATCACAATGATAATAATACCAGATGTTCCACGCTAGACAAATAATATATTACAGACAGAATAGGATAAACTGGAGAGATGTCGCTGAACTTCCTATCACCCGTTCTAATCCTGAATCACCGAATCAAAGTTCATGCGTATTTGAATCGGTGATTCATAATTTGAACCGGCGCATAGTTCAATGAAATCTCCAGTTTATTATATTCGGTCCAATGGAACTAGGTGTCTACTTTAAAATATTTTAAATACATTGCCCAACCAAAAAGTATTAAATAGCCATTTCAAAAACCTAGATTTAATTGGTGAAAATGGGTTCTAAAATTAAGACTCACTGTGTTCCATACAATGAACATGACACTTAATTGAAATGACTTGAGAAACATATGATTCTTGAAATGTTTTGCGGCATCCACCCGTTAACCTACTTTCACGTCAATCATTCCTGAAACAATAATCACCAAATTCCTCTTGTCATGGCATTTACAAAATGTGGTCTGCCTTTTTTTTGCTTTTAGATTTAAAAAAGGGATAGAAATAGAGCATAGTCGTATATGAAACGTCATATTTTTTGGGGACACCTGTAAAATATTTAATATTTTAGGTTGATAATATGGAGTTAAGACCAACAGGAGATCATTTAAAACGATGTTTCACCGCGCTCTATCTTGCAAAGTAAGATTTTATTTTTTTCTATTTTCTATTTCTTTTCCTCGGTTGAAACTAGAAAAGAGGGGAATTCTTATTCCCTTCTTTTTAAGGATATTGAAACTTAGAATTTGTATCGTCTTTTTTATTAAAAAAATATTGTCTTCTTTTTTATAAAATGTCACTCAGGATTTTTAAACTCCATTCGTTTCACAGTTTTCTGGTTCTCACTGTATTATTGAATTTATAATATTTATAAAAAATCTATTTTTTCGATCTTTAAAGATTTGCAAAATATCTAACATTTATTTTTTTTAAACCTTCTCCCCATGAAGATTAACATATAAAGTCAAACTCATCTTCTGGTTAAATGAAATTTTTTTTGCAATTCGAACTTCAAAATAATTTCATAATTTCAGATGCCTCGAGTTGGTTGGATGGTTCCATGGCAAACCAAGCAAAGATAATTTTCTATTCGTAGCAGCTCTTTTAGTCAAGCATATACAGGTAATATTATAATGAAATAAAATTGAAAAAATGTATAAATATAATAATAATAGTGATGATAATGATAATATTAATAATAATTGTAATAAGAAAAATAATGATAATGATTATAATAATCATAATTATAAATAGAATAATAATGATAAATGATAATAATAATAGTAATAATAATAATATTTCTAGGCATGTGCCTGTAACGCCTATGAAATCAATGAGTTTGTAAAGAAAGGAGAATCTATGATAAATAGTGAGAGTTTAGAACTGGGAGGAGCTGTTTATCCAACTATTAGGTAAAAAACAGCAAAGTATGAAACTACAATGACGACCTAAAACTCTTTAGTTATGACGATCTATGTTAAATTTGGACTATGTTGCTTACTTAAGCTTATAAAGGGTGTGTTAAATGACTTGGCACAAAAAAATAAAGACAACTTCCAAACTCAAGAATTGTAATCTTAAATAGTTCATTGCACATGAAACACATCAATTGTGCAGCGCACTAAACAGACCTATTTCGTAATGAATTTTCAAGCTTTTGGATAAAAACTATTTTGCAGTACAAGGAAATCAAAGACTCGTCATAAGATTGCTTAAATGTCGTATTCTTATTGATTAATTAACAATCCCCATTTTATTATGTATAATAATTAAATAGTTAATTAAATATTTAAATTATTATAAATAATTTAGTTTATCCAACCATTCCTGTAACGGAAACACAAGCAGGACTAATTATGGAATATATTGTGTAGTGAGAGCTACGAGATCAATTCAACCAAGTGAAAAGGTAATTTGTTAATGGGACTGTTTACGAATATTGAAATGGCATTTTCTTAAAGGTACTGTATAGACGTAATAGAAAAACTGATTTTTCGTACAGAGACTTAAGTCGTAATACTATGTTTCAGAGTACTTTTCCCGTAAAAAATAAGTGAGTATCCCATTATAGAATAGCATGTCAGATTCCAAACTGTACCTTTTAACCAACATTTTTCTATGGTTAGAATCAGACATTTTCCTCCTCAATTTTAAACCACGATTAAAATTATTCAGTTTTTTTAAAAACTATGAATGTATCATTCATACAAGATCCGATCAAGATTAAAGGGTATTCCGTCGTTGTATTCATAGACAATTTTTTGTCTCTTTAACATATTATTTTTCTTAATTTGTATTTTTGATCTGAAAATACAGCAAGTGAAGTAATTTAAAATTTAGTTGTGTTATAACAAAGCACCAAAAATTGTTTAGGTGTATAATAACTATGTAAAATGTTTAGGTGTATGATAACTATGTTAAATGTTTAGGTGTATGATAACTATATTAAATGTTTAGGTGTATGATAACTATGTTAAATGTTTAGGTGTATAATAACTATGTCAAATGTTTAGGTGTATGATAACTATGTTAAATGTTTAGGTGTATGATAACTATGTTAAATGTTTAGGTGTATGATAACTATGTTAAATGTTTAGGTGTATGATAACTATGTTAAATGTTTAGGTGTATGATAACTATGTCAAATGTTTAGGTGTATGATAACTATGTAAAATGTTTAGGTGTATGATAACTATGTAAAATGTTTAGGTGTATGATAACTATGTTAAATGTTTAGGTGTATTATAACTATGTTAAATGTTTTGGTGTATGATAACTATGTAAAATGTTTAGGTGTATGATAACTATGTAAAATGTTTAGGTGTATTATAACTATGTTAAATGTTTAGGTGTATGATAACTATGTTAAATGTTTAGGTGTATGATAACTTTGTTAAATGTTTAGTTGTATAATACCTATGTTTTGGTGTATGATAATTGATAACTATGTTTTGGTGTATGAAAACTATATTATATGTTTAGGTGTATGATAACTATGTTTAGGTATTTGATGACTATGTTTAGGTGTATGATAACTATGTTGTGGCGTATGATAACTATGTTTTGACGTATGATAACTATGTTTAGCTGTATAATAACCTTTTTAAGGTGAATAATAACCTTATTAAGGTGAATGATAACTATGTAAGTTAAATGTTTAGGTGTAAGAAAACTATGTTTTGGTGTATGATAACTATGTTAAATGTTTAGGTGTATGATAACTATGTTAAATGTTTAGGTGTATGATAACTATGTTAAATGTTTAGGTGTATGATAACTATGTTAAATGTTTAGGTGTATGATAACTATGTTAAATGTTTAGGTGTATGATAACTATGTTAAATGTTTAGGTGTATGATAACTATGGTCAATTTTACCATATAGAGAGTAAGGAGGAGAGACAAAAAAGGCTTAAGCTTCAATACTTTTTCGACTGCAGTTGTGCAGCTTGTAAGCAAAACTGGCCTCTGTACAGGGTAATCTTTACTTTTATTCACTTCGATATTATTTTACATCTACATTTCTTCATCTATACAGGGTAACATAATCTTTACTTTATTCACTTCGATACTATTTTACATCTACACTTCTTCATAGGAGTAGTTAATTTTCCTCAGAAATTTATCAAAAGAAAATTTGCATAGAAAAAAACGATTTTTTCCTTTCTGAATACAATTATATGTATAATTATATATATCTCTTTTTAAATAAAAATATATATATATATATATGTTAGCTGTAGCTATATTTAGTGGACCAAATTTGCTTTGATTTTTGACGAAACCTATGGGTACCCTGGTGGTAACATAGGGTTAAAAAACGAATTTTTTCAAAATTAAAATTTTTTTATTCCACGGGCAATGCCGGGCACATTTAGTTCATAAATAATATACGATATATTTAATTAGGTATTTAGTGGGCAGACTAGTGTTTACAAATGCCCAGGTTGCGGGGGTTCATTGGGTACACAAGTAGACAAGGTAATTAAGATTTCAAATTACCCATCTTTAAAGGCACAGTTTTAACTAACACTCCATTAGAAAAGTGATATATCCGATTCCTAATTGTAGATTTTAAACTTGAAAACTTTTAATTCTTTTCAAAGATAAATGAAAATTTTATCTGAAAGTGTTTAATTGTGAGTTCTCTTGAAATGCATGAATATGCGCAAAGAAAATGAAGGATAATGTCATAATCTAATATTTTTCCATAAGGAAAAACTATGATTTGCTTCTTAATTGTTGTTAAATAAAGGCTCAAAGGTGAATTGTACATACAACACGATAAATCGAAGAATGCTTGACATTACGTCTGCAGTTTCTTTTATTTATTTTGTATTTAATAATCTTGCCCTTTAAACCGAGATCTGAATTTTGTATTTAATAATCTTGCACTCTAAACCGAGATCTGAATTTTTTTTTATAATCTTGCTCTTTAAAACCAGATCTGAATTTTGTATTTAATAATCTTGCTCTTTAAAACAAGACCTGAATTTTGTATTTTATAATCTTGCTCTTTAAAACCAGGTCTGAATTTTGTATTTTATAATGTTGCTCATTAAAACCAGATCTGAATTTTGTATTTTATAATCTTGCTCTTTAAAACCAGATCTGAATTTTGTATTTAATAATCTTGCTCATTAAAACCAGATCTGAATTTTGTATTCTATAATCTTGCTCTTTAAAACCAGATCTGAATTTTGTATTTAATAATCTTGCTAATTAAAAAAAAAATATGAATTTTTATTTTATAGTCTTGCTCTTTAAAACAAGACCTGAATTTTGTATTTTATAATCTTGCTCTTTAAAACGAGATCTGAATTTTGTATTTAACCCTATCCCTGCTGGGGTACTTGAAAACCAGGATACCAGGATATTTTATGTCCAAATATGACAAATGATACATCATTAGAAAGCTCTTGTGCTCTACTTTTAGAATCTGCCAAAAAATTTGCAAATTTGTGAAAATTGAATTTTTTATCGCAAAATCCAGTTTTATAGTAAAAATGTTTGCGAAAATAAATTTGTCCAAAAAATGACAAATTATACATTTTTGAAAATCCCTTTACCATGCCATTTCAAATATGCAAAATTTTTGCAAAATTTTAATTAACCTGATTTTTAATCAAGAAAAACTAAAAATGTGCAAATTTCCTTTGACAGGTTGTTTGTAAAAAATTTGCAATTTTTTTTTCGCAAAACTTGTGCAATCCGTTTCCTTATGTCATAGGCTTTCCAAAAAGCTAAATTTTATCAAAATCGGACAAGTGAAAGTGGGTCAAAAAAAAGATTTAGTTTGTTACAGGCAAAAACAGTCATTCAGGCAGTGTGCCTGAGGACTCAGGCAGTTAGTATTAAAGCCCGGTTTTAGGCCTAAAGGGAGGGCTTTGGGTATGTAAGAGAAGTCAGAAAATTTCAACAGCCTCAGACCAACACTTTTTGAGTTATGTAAAAAAAACTACAGGGAATAATCTTCCTAATTAAAAAGAGATCTGAATTTTGTATTTAATAATCTTGTTCTCTAAAACCAGATCTGAATTTTGTATTTAATAATCTTCCTAATTAAAAAGAGATCTGAATTTTGTATTTAATAATCTTGCTCTTTAAAACCAGATCTGAATTTTGTATTTAATAATCTTGCTGATTAAAAAAAAGATCTGAATTTTTATTTTATAGTCTTGCTCTTTAAAACAAGACCTGAATTTTGTATTTTATAATCTTGCTCTTTAAAACCAAATCTGAATTTTGTATTTAATAATCTTGCTAATTAAAAAAGATCTGAATTTTTATTTTATTGTCTTGCTCTTTAAAACAAGACCTGAATTTTGTATTTAATAATCTTCCTAATTAAAAAGAGATCTGAATTTTGTATTTAATAATCTTGTTCTCTAAAACCAGATCTGAATTTTGTATTTAATAATCTTGCACTCTAAACCCAGATCTAAATTTTGTATTTAATAATCTTGCACTCTAAACCAAATCCAAATTTTGTATTTAATAATTTTGCTCTTTAAAACCAGATCTGAATTTTGTATCTATTAATCTTGCTCTTTAAACCTCTCTAAAACCAGATCTGAATTTTGTATTTAATAATCTTGCTTTCTAAACCTCTCTAAAACAGATCTGAAAGAACAATATATTGCAATAATTAGTACCATGTGTAAAGTTGTAAACGGCATTTAAGATTTGAAATGTTATAACTTATATTTCTTACTTTTCATCGAATTTTTACTGATCTTTAATAGGAAAATTTTTAAAAAGATAAAGAATTGAAAAAAAAGATAATAAAATGTAAAATAAAGAGATTACAAAAGTATAAAAAAGTTGACAAGTCATATACCTGTTAAAAACAACTTTCATGAAATCAAATGATAAATTAAAAGTTAACAATTTTGTAAAAGGTCATTTATTTAAAAAAAAATGTTTAGGTGTATGATAACTATGTTAAATGTTTAGGTGTATGATAACTATGGTCAATTTTACCATATAGAGAGTAAGGAGGAGAGACAAAAAAGGCTTAAGCTTCAATACTTTTTCGACTGCAGTTGTGCAGCTTGTAAGCAAAACTGGCCTCTGTACAGGGTAATCTTTACTTTTATTCACTTCGATATTATTTTACATCTACATTTCTTCATCTATACAGGGTAACATAATCTTTACTTTATTCACTTCGATACTATTTTACATCTACACTTCTTCATAGGAGTAGTTAATTTTCCTCAGAAATTTATCAAAAGAAAATTTGCATAGAAAAAAACGATTTTTTCCTTTCTGAATACAATTATATGTATAATTATATATATCTCTTTTTAAATAAAAATATATATATATATATATGTGATGTATAATCGTATTGCATTTAATAACATTTTCATTATTCTATTCTTAAGAGCCCCAGCCCCGGGTCCGCGAAGGATGATAAAAAAAATGTTTTAAGTTGCAGGAAACCAAATATTTCTCTGATTCTATATGGGTAACCCTGTATGTTAACATCAAAGTGAAGGAATGACAAGAAGAAAAATCGAAGACGGAAGAAAGAAACAAAATTGGCGAATAAAAAAGAAAAATTGAAGAATTAGAAGATTTTCTTTGATTGCTTGACTGGATATACAAGCCGTTACCTACTAAGTATACAAGCCGGGGATGCAGTTGCACTGAATATAATTGCTGTAAATGCATCTTCTGGTATTGTATATTTGATAAGGTAGATATCTCCCCAGGATAGTATTCAGTCACGTGAAAGGAACTGAGTTCTTACATCAAATTCTTATTTTTTCATATTTAAAATTGTGGATTCTGTTAGTTAAAATTATCTAAGTTTGAAATATCAAATCAGAGTATTGTGTAGCATTTAGTTTTTGTTAATCCTATTCCGAAACATCTATTTATTTTCTAATTAGCAAAACTGATCTATTTATTTGTATTTTGTATTTTTGGAAACTTTCGTTTCAGAATCTGAAACTCGTTTTTTTTCTTTTCTGCAAATAATCTAATTTGGACACCTTGAAAAAGCATCAATTTAAATCTCAACTATTAATTGCCTCTTGCCCAAAAATGTTTTTTGTAAGCTTTTCTCAAAGCCACTTGAAAACAGGATTTTATTTGTTCAGATTAAACGATGTGGAAAGTGCAAGAAAGAGCTGAAGGGACTGGTTAAATTAATAATTCATCTGAATAAGTTAAAATCTGATTTCAGGTTCGTTTTTTACATATTTTCATGTTTGATAAATAAATCATATAAAAACTTTTAAAGTTTCTGAACAACCGTTCATATAAATCAACATGGTTGCCGAAAAACTTTAATGAAATTGCAAATAATAAATAAAAGACGAGTTGCAAACTCGCAACCAAAAAGAATAATTTATAGAATTATATCAGCTTTATCATGATTATCATGATTATTATGAATATCAGCATTATTATGATTATCATCATTTTGATAATTATGAATATCGTCATTATCCCGATTGTTAATTCTATCATCATATAATCATCATTGCAATGATTACTATTATAATTATTTTTGTCATAATCATTATCATCATAATTTGTTTATAGGGACTGAAAGCGTTATTTTAAGTGATCCTTCATGTAAAGATGGCATTGACCGATTCACAACGGTACCCTTAAAAACCTAGAAAACCAAGAATATCTTCCACTTTAGATCAGATGAAGGTTTCAAGGGTTGTGAATCGGCCATTCTCAAGTTTTTATGGATGGTCACTTGAAATTACGCTTACAGTTCCTTTAATGTTAGGAAGATTATGGACGGTATAACCCCTGAGAACGCGAATGATTATATAAAAACATATTCTATACTTCTTACACAAATAGAAAAGGTAACCAAGTTCTAATTAAAGGGACTGTACACGTAGCTTTAACTAACCCTCCATTTGTAAATTGGCAGGAAGATACCCTTCAAACCTTTGTCTGATTATGAATGAAAAGATATAACTGAAAATTGATTATTGTGAATTGTGGTTACTGGTAACTCTGTAAAAGTGACTTGGAGATTGGAAATTGTCAGAATATTCATAGATTTTCAAAAGTTGGAAACACGATAATTCCAGAAAAAAATTTAAGGGTACCGTTGTAAATTTGACATGCCACTCTATAAATTAAGGGTTTAAAAAGATCTGTTTTCCTCGATATGAATTTGTTTACTAGTTTGTTTTACATTTTAAAACAATTTATTAAGTTTTCGGAGAAGCACAGTATATTGTGTATTAAAAAACGTATGGTAAAAAATGAGAATCCTTTTTTCAGATTTTTTCTCCCCCCTGCCGTGAACTGACTGAATGCACACAAGGTAAGTTTTAAACTAATTCTGAAAACGTATCCACACCCAAAGTAGGAGTTTTGAACATCGAATTTGTGCTCAAACTTAGGATTTACAGATCGTAAAAAGTTTAATATGTCTCAAATGAATCCGAAAGAAGTTTTCCACAGCACTGCATACTCAGTTCAACTACCTTACATAGCCGGTCACTCCCTTTAAAATGTGTTGTTTAATTAGTGTTGCTGCAGAGCTATGCCGTCCTAGGAAACCATTCTCAAATATCTCCAACTTTAGAGGAATCTCAAGTAGCTTTGTTCCAGGTATAGTTAAAAATTATTAGTTACACACAATGGTGGCTTACAAAATCCTCCAGGGTGGGGGAAGGGGTTGTCATGCCCCCCTTCCCCATTAATAGCTGCCTCTGTATACACCATTTCCAAATTATGGTCTACTCTTTTGTGCTCTCAAATTTATAGATGTATATTGTTACTGCTGAGGATCGTCATGATAGACGTGAAACATTATGTTTAGTATAATTCTTTATTTAATAAAACTGTGAAGATAAAAACTGAAATGTATATATATATATATGTCATTCTAAGTAAAGATGAAAAATTATTTATCTTGAATTAATTGCTTAAATCGATACGCTGATTTATTTAAACAATGCATTTCAGGGTGCTGGTTCTGATGATGATGACGATGATGATGAAGTGCCTGGTCTCATCTAAACCATTTTTATATTTTCATTTTATATCATTTTCCAGTTTTTAATAAAAAAGAGATTTTTTCTGAATCTGATTTTAGATGATCTATTGTTAGAATTGAAAATAAGAAAATAATAATGTTTATATTTTATTGTTCAGCATATTATGGATTCCAGGAAAGGATATAGCTTAAAAAATACAAAGACCATAATCTTTAGATATAATCCATATAAATACTATAAGCACATCAAGACTCTAACAGATTTGCAGTGGTTGTTATCTTGTAATTAAAGGTGTAATACACAAATTCTTAACCTGTCATAAGCTAAAATTTTCTTTTACAAGATATATTTTTGATATCGTTTGTTTACGAGGAGATCAAATAAATTGAGCACATGTCACAAACTCTAGTTTTTTTAATACTTAAATCCTACCAACCGGATGTCACAGATCTTATTTCAAGCTATAAAATCTGCATTAAACAAACTTATAGTCAAAGTTTGAAATATTTAAGGTTTATGTGTTTTTTGCTACAAGTGCACTCCTCAATTGGTAATCAGACAAAAAACGTAACATTAAATCGCTTATTTCTTAGAAATAAGGCTATATTACCTCTGGTAATGACCCTATGGTGTACAATATTGTTAAAGCTTTCTTTATTGCTTCTTAGTTTCAACAATAAATCTTTAAATATGCCATGTGAGCATATCCAAGAGTATAATGAATTGTCTGGCTGAATTGGCATTCACTATTAAAAAAGCTCTGGGAAACCTTGTAGGTGAAGTTCTGTACTTTACTGATAGTACCATTGCAATGTGCTGGTCATTCCACACAAACAAGAAACTCCGAATCTATGTTCTGAACAGGGTTAACCTAATCAGACAAATGATCAAATGGACAACTGGAGAAGAAGATCTGCTCGCAAAACCACAGGATTTAGGTCCTGCTCATTTAACTGTTGACTCTGTTTGGCAATCTGGTTCCGTCCTAAGTTCAGTCTAAAAGTCGTCCTCCTATCCCAGAGTTTTCTATTTATATACTTTGCTCGTCTGCTTGTTTGTCCGTTTGTATCCAATAAACGTCCAAACAGCTGAACCGACCGAGCCCAACATTTGTGAGGCGACTCCATGGCCCAAAGGAAAGTTTAAAACTAGTTAAAAATTTATGCGGGAAAAAAGGTCGAAAGGAATTGAGTCTTTGCCACAAACTTGAATTTTGCCATTCCTATATTTTTGCAACCAGATGGTGTAAGTCTTAGATATTTCAAACTTAGATTATTTAATCTAACAGAATAAATAGTTTGAAATATCTAAGGTCTCCGACATTGGGCTTCAATAATATAGGGATTAGAAAATTCGTGTTTGTGGCAAAGACTCAATTCCTTTATTATTTTTTATTTCACCATATATGGTTCATTTCATCCCGTCCTGATCAAATACGGAGGGGGAGGGGGGGGGGGCATAAGCCTATCCGATGACCCTCTTGAAAAATAAAAACTAATTTGTCGAAGAATATTGTGGAGAAAGTGAAAACTGAAACTGTAAAATAGTCATGATGAACTATAGTGAAATATTTGTGAATATATGATTGTAGAACTAAATGCGTATTTAATGTATTTCAACTAAGTTTTGTCTTTTAATGTTTTAAGATTGCTTTTTATATCTAATATTGTGTTCAAATTTGCAGTTTACGAAATGGAAACTGAAAATTTTACAGTTTCCAATCCGTAAACTGGAAAAATTTCCTGTTTGCGTAACGTAAACCGTAAACAATCCGGTTTCCATTTGATCCGGAATTATCCCGGAATTCCGGTTTACGCAACAAATTTCCGGATCATTCCATTTCCAAAATAGAAATTTTTTTCCGGAAAAATGGAAATCCTAATTGGGCCCAATTCTTATTATCCCATGGAAAGTTATGAATTTTAAAACTTTGTCTGGAAAAAATGTCAACATCTGCCAATTCAAACAGAAAAATCAGTAAAATTTGTTAATTGCTGAGTACAGTAAAAAAATGGGGGCTAGCTAGCAACAATTAGAAGCTAATTTAGTTCATAGAAAAGAGGCGCGATGCGTCCTACAATTCAGTTAATTAAAACATGTCCAGAGTGTCCCAGATTAGGCATAGCTCTAAATTGGGAATTCAAAAACAAAACAGAATTTAAAACTTTATGTTGGCGCTCATCCTTTAGCTTCAGAATTTGTTCAAAAGTTAAAGTCAGAACTAAACTTTATAAAAAGTAGAATCTTATATCAACATTTTGATATAAATAGTATTAACATTCATTTTAAAATTCAATTAAAGTGAATTTGCGCAATATAATTAAATCGAATTAAGTTAAAATAACAGCGAACAGTTGTGCTTTGTTATTAAATTTCTATTTTTATGAAAAGTACAAACAAATCTCATGCCGCAAATAATAAAAAATTATTTATTTCCTAATTATAAAAAAAAAACAATTAAAGCGGAAACCATTAGTCATACTCCCATCCGGCTTCATTTATTACTAATGCGTAGCAAGTGTTTTTAAACAATGTTTAAATATTAGTATTTTTCATCAACAGATCAATACGGTGTGGACCAGGATAAGGTAGGCAAACTCAATTTTATGATTCTAAAATATGATAGTATATACAGAGTTTAAATATTCATATTATTAATCTCTTTCATCTTCTCTTTTCCTGTCCCTTCAGTTTGAAAACCTACTGCTGAACCTCCTCCTTAGAATTTAGAGTGCCCATGCATATGTCTCTTCTATGAAACGTCCTATCCATGAAATTTCTTTTCAATGAAATGTCTCGTCCATGAAATGCCCTATCTATGAAATGTATTGTCCATAAAATGTCCTATCTATGAAATGTCCTATCTATTAAATGTCCTATCTATGGAATGTCTATTGTCCTTTCTAATGAAATGTCCTGTTCGTAAATGTCCTATCTATGAAATATGCTATACATTGTCCTATCTATGAAATTTCCATTCAATGAAATATCCCGTCTATGAAACGCCCTATCTATTGTCATATCTATGAATTGTCCTGTCATTGAAATTTACCGTCTAAGGCATGTCCTTTCTATTAAATGTGCTGTCTTTAAAATATCCTAACTATGAAATATCCTTTGATGAAATGTCCTGAAATGTCCTGTCTATGAAATGTCCTGTATTAGAAATGTACTATTTATGAAATGTCCTTTCTATGAAATATCCTGAGTATGAAATGGTCTGTCTATAAAACGTCCTAGCTATAGAAATGTCAAATCTATAAAATGTTCCGTCTATGAAATTTCCCGTCCATAAAATGTCCTTTCTATAAAATGTCTTGTCTATTAAAATGACCTTTCTATTAGGTGTCTTGTCTATGAAATGTCCTTCTTTGATATGTTTTTTTTTCTATGAAATATCCTGTCTATGATATGTTTTGTCTTTGAAATGTCTTTTATGAAATATCCTATCCATATATTTTCCGACAACTTAACTATCGTGTGCTAGTTGACACATGGCTATGTCCCTGGTAAAATTTGACAAGTTCTTTCGCAAAATTTTATAAATTTTAAAATTCTTAACAACATAATTTTATAATTGTAAACAATTCTTCAAATCTGCCGCAAACCTGAATTTAAAGAGTCGCACGCCCAATCAGGTAGGTACCCTTTTTATACAGGGAGTCACACGAAACATGACAGTTGCTAAATAGTTTTGAATGTCGTCTTCCTTGCACTGTATAATATATTAAAGGCTGTTTGCAGTTTATTTCGTTTTAAAAATCTTTTGCTCAAATATGTTTTGTCTTTGAAGTTAATTTTACTTTAATATAACTCCTATATAATATTTTTATTATTGTTTTTGGTATTAAACAACTTAACAAATTATGGAAGAAGACATTCTAAACTAATTACCAACTGTCATGTTTCTTTTCTGTAGCTTAAACCTCAATGAGAATATCGTAGTTTTTTATTTGAAAAGTGTATCAATCAATCAATCTGACAATTTCTTTCTTTGATTTTGTTGCAATGAAAATCCGCAAGTCACTTGTAAAGAGAATCCACAAGTGGAAATAATTCATTTTAAGTGAGATAAGCACGGATATCTTTATTCTTTATGCTCAGGCGAAGGTTCAAGCTGGTACTGTAGTGAACCAGACAAGTTCCTCTGTCTTTAAATATTTTATGAAATAAGTTGACTCCATATTGTCCTTTAAAAAGTAATATTTGAGTGTGACACATTAATTCATAGCGTTAGCGTAAAATCTCACACTTGACAAAAATGATTAATTTTCTTCAAAAATAATATTTTTCTATTTTAGTTGGAGTGTCACCATGCAGGGATTCGGACTTATTGGGGTAAGTTTTAATAATTCTTTTTTAGAATTATTATTTTAGAATTATTTAGAATTATGATAAGAATTTAAAAAAATAATATTTACAAACTTTCAGTTGAGTTTGATAGGTCTTAGTATCGGGTGTAATCAGGTACCAAAGAAGTTGAGTTTTTGCCACAAACTATAACTTTCTGATAATGTAAATCTTTGATATTTTATACATCGATTATTTGATATAAGGGTTAGAGAATCAAAGTTGGTTGCAAAAACTCAGTTTATCTTTGAGAAAAACAATTTATTGAAAAAATGTCAATAGGAACACATCTCTAATTAAAAAAATTTAAAACTTCGATACAATTTCCATTCGCAAAACTTTTGCGCAATTTTTGCGGAACGAAACGCACACTTTTACTTTCTTTGCGCATCAGTTTTGCGCGAAAAAAAAAACAATTTGCGCAATCATTCGCAAAAGTCATTTCGCGAAAAAATGCCCTTTTTCGCTTTAGCGAAACTCAAGTTTGCGCAATTCCGCAACTAGAGTTTTGCGCAATTCCGCAATTTCGTAAAAATCAAACGGTTGGTGACGACGTGTGTGTTTCTTAGAATTCAATTCTGGAAAAATCTTGTTTTGGAATGTCTTCCTATTGGTCACAATTACATAATTGACCAATGACAGTTAAGAAGAGTTTAAATCTCACAATTTTCTCCACAATTTTGGTTTGGGACATGCATATTTCCTAAAAGTGGATTCTTCAGGCTAAGAATTAATTCGAAAAGTAACTTTAAAGCCCAACTTCTTATCATATTATATATAATATCATATATACATACATTTGTTAAGGATAATCTATATTCAATATATATTTTGAAATAAACTATTATCTTCTTATTATTTTTAGAAATTTACTTACATCAGTTGTACAAATTCTATGTTTTTATTCTTTCCTATCCATTCTCTTCAGTCCTAAATTCACATTCATTTTGGATAAACAAATAAACAAATTTGATAAATTAATTTTCTTTGAATGTTTTACTTTTATTTAACTTTTCTTTAAATCAAAATAAAATGCCTGATGTTTCCATTCTAACTTTTTAACTCCTACTGATCTACCAAACTGTACATTTCTACCTGCGCACTGTGCAGCGCGCATAAACTTTAAAATTTTACAAACTTTATATACATAAAACATAAGGAAATAAATTACAACACTATTTTAATACAGCCACCAACAACGTTAACAACAACAACACCTGCTGGACCAACTATACCTGTTTCCCAGTGCAAGGAATCAAAAAGAATGATAACTGATTGAAAGATCAAATTTTATATTTTAGCAAAACAGAATTACAAATATTTTGATGCAGACATATTTTTTTACTTATGTTTTTCAACTTGTTTTTCCTGATGCTTGTCATATTAAATTCACAACAGCTGTTCTCTTTTATTCTGACGCTATAGCCCTTGGGAAACCATGCAGTGCAAATATTTTTTAAACAGTTAAAGCTAAACTATTTCCTTCTGGTATATACATTATACAAAACATGACAGTTGGGAGACAACTTGATTGAAGATCTTTGAAAAAAGTTGCGGCGTTTATTCAAAACTGATGAATTAAAAATGCTTAGAGTCCTGGCATTTCCAAAATGTGACAGCTGCATTTTTTGTGCCTTATACTCCTAAAAAGGCTGCAGAGGGGTAAGGTACCCTGGAGTACAGGTTTGAAGGTGCGATCCATTTTATTATTGTTTTAAAATTCTTAAGTTAATAAATGAATGCTGCAAATATCGTATTAAAGACGAAATTAATCCCGTCTCTTAAGTGTCATGTTTCGTGGGAGTATAGTTTTAAATCAAACAGAATCACAAAGCAATTTTATCTATCAATTTTCTTAAAATTTGGACATCCACGGTTCTTTTATTTTTCTGAAAATTATTTGTTAGGTTAAAATACAAATCATTCCTGATCTTTATACAGTGTGGACAGGCTAATGTTATAAGAACTAAGATTGTAGGAGGACAGGAAACAGAGAAAAATGAGTATCCTTGGCAGGTAGGTCACCCCAGTACTATTATTGTGTTATCGAGGAAAATTGGCAGGTAGATCCCCTCGGTACTAAATTATTGTGTTATCAAGTAGAAGAAAACTAGTTTACTTGTATAACCACCCTGTCTAGTACAGGGTGTCCCAGGAAACAGTTTCTGAATATTTTAAAATAACTTCTTCCATAATTTGATAAGAAAAAAATAATAAACATTATTATATATGGTAGTTTTATTACAGTAAAATTGATCCAAGATTAACATATATTGGAGTAAAAGATTTTCCTACTCAACTAAACTGCAAAAGTCTTTAGATTTAATCCAGCATTTAGAAGACGACATTCTAAATTATTGATCAGTTGTCATGTTTCGTGGGACACCCTGTATATGCACAGTATGTAGGTGGAGTGGGTTTCATGTTGTGTTCAATGCCCCGGAAAATTCCAAAATAGAGAGAGGGTGATTGAATTTTGTAGATCCAGAAAAATAATTAAATTAGTATTTATTTAGGGTTAGGTTAGGTTAAGAGACTTTCTGGGCCGAGTGCTACAGCTAGGACAGGCTAGGGGGCCGAGCGCTGCGGCCATATGTCTTACATTTAAGACCCCACCAGCTGCCAGTCTCTACGCAGGCATCCCACAGATATTTTTTTCTGGATCTACAAAATTCAATCCCCCCTTTTCCAGGGCATTGAACACAAAATGAAACCCACTCCGCCCAGTATGTAGTAGTAGCTACTAAACGCAGTAGACTCAACGCAACAAATGTAGAAAAACATATCTAAAGTAAGGTCTACCCAACACAAACTCGAGTCAGATAAGCCAGAAGTATATACCTAAAAGTTCAACTAGCAAAAATAAAGATGCTATAAAACCGTTAGCTTTAAATTGTTACCCAGCGGATAAAGCCGTTATTGAAATAAATCATAAATGACGACGACTTTCGTTTTTTTCTGCAAAAAAAACATAAAAGTTAATTCTCAAAAGTATTTTGATGTGTTAAAACAGCATTTTCAGATTTTCCCTCGCTTATTTGCTGAATTAAACGATATGTTATGCAATTTGATATTTTTTTACATTGTTTATGTCTCTTCAAATTTTCCAGCTGTACATGAAATAATCGATAATGAAACTAGTGCACATCAGATAAAGATTTCCCAAATATCTGCTGTTAACGTTGTTAATTATATAATAATGAGATCGCTCAGAAACGGTAGCTTTAAGCATTAATGTTCCGTTTTCAGCTAAAACACAAATGGCTTTCTGAAAAAAAAATGTTCAACGGTTTAAACTCCTCTTTAACAAACGGGTAGAAACAAGTCAGAATGTGCCCAGCCCTGATTGTAAAAGAATAAATTAAACATTGCAAGTTAAAAAGAAATGTGACTTGTAAGCCCTGCGTGATGTTATGCGGAGTCGGAATTTAATGAATTTGAGCCGCGTCTCAAATCCCCGAAAAACGGTTTTGAATCCACCAAAAACTGGTTTAAACCTTTAAAAGTTTTATACAATTTTTAGAGGAACCAACCATATTTGAGCCGCGGCTCAAATTCTTCAAATTCGGCCTCAGAACGAGGGGGGGGAGTGTAGAAGTACTCAATCTGTAATCACCGCCACCCAAACGTGTTTTGCGGCATGCGCGGCATGGTCTTATTCTAAGTGATAAACGATTTAATGTTAGGCTTTTTTGTCTGATTACCAATTGAGTTGGTGGAGAAAACCAATTGAGGATCGCACATGCTGCAAAACACGTTTGGATGGCGGTGATTACCCATTGAGTACTTCTGCACTCACCCCCTCTCATTCAGAATATTTTTTCCGGGTTTACAATAATTTCTCTATTTTGCCTATAATGTTACTTTAAAAAAATGTTATATTAGTTAGATTGAATGTACCTGGAATGAAAGGCACAAAATATATTGTGGCCAAAGACACCTGAGATAAAATGTACAAGTGGCCTTAGTTACCAAAGACCAAACATACGCAAAAAACCAAATTTATACTTGATACGATTGTAGTTTTGACTAAAATGAATTGGGCGAAATATCACTGAGCCATTAGAAGAGCACTGCTTTCATTATGTTTCCATATTTTTATGTTTACAGGTTGCTTTACTGAAAAGTCAAGAGCCATCATCAACAAATAAACCTTATTGTGCAGGAAGCTTGATTAGCAATCAGGTATACCCTTACACAATTTAAAACAGCAGCCAAAATGTAAAGGGATAGTCAATCATTTTCTTGATTTATTTGTATGCTTTCTGTCAGATTGGAACGTTAAATTGATCTTGAAAATAAAGGAAGTTTAAAGACTGAATGTGAGTAAATCTACAGAGTATAGAAAAAAATATAATTACAATATAAAAAAAAAAAAAAAATGTTTGATACCAATGAATGTGGAAAGCCAGAGATCTCTGACGGACTCTCCACCTTTCATTCGTCTCATGTGATGAGTTTTTCTTCTTCCTTCCAATCCTTCTAGATTACTGCTTCATTCCGGTATTAGCCTGGCCGACCTTATTTTCGTGATTCAAGTCGTGGTTCATGCCTATTGACTTGAATTTAAAAAACTTTTCCATGGGTTGAAACAGACATTGAAAACTTGCATAAAAAAGGACAAAAATATTTTAATACACTTTACACCAGGTGACTTATTATCCATTCTACTTTCTGTCCGACCTTTAGCTCTAAACAAAGAGCTAATAAGCTGCCATGCTTGTAGGCTTGACTACTTGCAGTGTGAGCTTAGCTCCGGTTCTATATGAGGACTGAAGGGGTTGCATCAATAGATCTATCCAATCTGAGGTTAGCTCTGGATCTGTATTAGAACTGAAGGGGTTACATCAATGGACCTATCCTTATTCCAAGCTATTGAGCTCACACTGGTTTCACTAGCTTACTCATACAATTAACCCTATTCCTGCTGGGGGGGGGGGGTCAATTTGGCCCCCCCCCCTGTAGTTTTTTTTACATAAATCAAAAAGTATTGGTCTGAGGCTGTTGAAACTTTCTGACTTTTCCTACATACCCAAATCCCTCCCTTTAGGCCTAAAACCGGGCTTTAATACTAACTGCCTGAGTCCTCAGGCACACTGCCTGAATGACTGCTTTTTCCTGTAACAAACTAAATCTTTGTTTTGACCCACTTTCACTTGTCAGATTTTGATAAAATTTAGCTTTTTGGAAAGCCTTTGACATAAGGAAACGAATTGCACAAGTTTTGCGAAAAAAAAATTGCAAATTTTTTGCAAACAACCTGTCAAAAGAAATTTGCACATTTTTAGTTTTTCTTGATTAAAATTCAGGTTATTTAAAATTTTGCAAAAATTTTTGCATATTTGAAAAGGTATGGGCAAGGGCTTTTCAAAAATGTATAACTTCTAATTTTTTGGACAAATTTTTTTTGCAAACATTTTTACTATAACTGGATTTTGCGATAAAAAATTCAATTTTTGCAAATTTGCAAATTTTTTTGCAGATTCTAAAAGTAGAGCACAAGAGCTTTCTATAGATGTATTATTTGTTATATTTGGACATCAAACAGGGGATTTAGAGGCCCGTCAAATTGACCCCACCCCCCCAGCATATCTTGGTTTTCAAGTATCCCAGCAGAGATAGGGTTAAAACCTATTCTCTCTCAATCAAACCTAAACAGTGCCAGCAGGATGTCATTGTCAAGGCCATGCGCAAGGACTCGCAATCGCGCAAAATTAAAATCCGCTTGGGTTGGAAACTCTAGTTTGTAATGAATCCAAAGCCAAACTTGAAAAATTTTTGAACATAAAAAAGAAAGACATTAAATATTTTTTGAAAATCCACCAACAATGAAACACTCTGTTTCAGGAGGTGCTGACTGCTGCCCAATGTTTAATTAGATCAACCATATATGTTGCGGTAAATACAGGGTTACCCACAAAGGATGAGACTTCAGAGACATCTTCGCATAATTTATACTGTCTATTTCATTCTACTTAGGATTCTCTACAAGTTTAAACTGATTTCTCTCGTTGCCATGTCAATAAATAGGCAATTAAAAGATAATATTCAAGGCAAACGTCTTAATCAAACCTTGTAAACGTCATATTTAATGAGCTCAGGTCGTCTTTACAGTCTTACTCTCATCCTTTGTGGATAACCCTGTACAAAAGCAAAATACAAAAATTGTCTTTTTTAATGCAAATGAACGATGGCAGTGAATGCTAGTAATAAATGTCTGAACTCTTGTATTTTGGATATAAGATCGATGCTTGATCTTGATCTTTTGTTAATCCGCAGATTAAATTAACCTTTATATTACATACCGTATGGGAATCGTATCCAGTCAGGGATTGAAGAAAGCTTTAACCCGGGGTTGACGTCAGCTTCGTTCACTGGTAGAATAGCTGAAATGAAGAGATGCATTGATTCTCAAATTAAAAGGTTTGACAGTTGATATCGAGATCAAGCCATCAGGATTATAAGTTCCCCATTCAGAACTACTTATAGTAAAACCATCCAAATAGATTTCTAGTAGAAATATTTTCACTTTTTTAGACAGAAATTAACCTATTTTATTTGGTTTAAAGAAAATATCGCTGCTAAGGTTATTTAAAGCATTTGTATATAGTTAGGTGAACATGATACTAATGATCCTAACGATGGGCAGAAGATTGTAAAAGTATGTAGTAGCACCAAACATCCCAGCTACAGGGGCGTACATAAGGATTCTGTAGGGGGGAGTAAAACTTTTGAATTCGGTGCGCGAAATTTTTTTACCCCCCTAGAATTTTTTCTAACCCCACCCTCCTAGAAAAAATATTATGATGTATATCAAATTATTGGTTTTAATTGGGTTTGATTTGCATTTTTCACTCATTTCTGGCATTTTCAAACTCCATCAAATAAAGGCTTCATCTCATACATTTCAGCTTTCATCTTGTTTTATATCCTTCATTATAGTCATTTATTTTACATTAACTACAAAGATCTGTAAAAAAACTGAATTTATTTTAAGTAAGATAGAAAATAATAGTTTTACTCTAAGACGAAAAAGATGTTACTTTTTTTAATCTTTGGGAAAAAGCTACTCTGCAAACCTTTGAAAAAATATTGACTTTGTTTATATTCTAATTTCTAATTTCTAAAATTTTCTTTTCGTTAATGTAGTATGTTAAGATCTTAAATTTTAATATGGAAATGACATAATTTAGAAGTAAAAATGTATTATTAATTGCCCATACCCTTTTTTTGCTATTAAAAAAAAAACATCTAATTGTACTAGCATTGACTATTACTTTAGAATTTAGAATCATTTAGAATATTTGACTTAAAATCTGAAATATCTGAAGTATCTGCACATTTAAATTATTTTCTCGCAAAAAGATATTCAATTTTAAAATCAAATTTTTAAATTCTAGGGGGGGGTAAACAACCCCATACAACCCCCCTTATTTACGCCACTGCCCAGGTATAATGGAAACAATGATTTTGATTATGCTATTCTGAAACTCTGTGATTCACCAGTCACTTTTACAAAGGTTGGTGCATATTTTAGAGTTTAAGTGACCCTCCTTGCAAACATGTCATGCCCCTGATTTACGATGGTTCCCTTGAAAGCTTTGTCTGGTAAAGTATGAATTAGATATCCATGTTTCGTTTATTTTAACTGTTTATTTTCTTTTGCAAATTCTCTGTTTAGTGTTCTGTGCATTTCGTGTTTACAGGAAATAATAAACACTTTTAACTACAGAACAAAACAACGATATCTTCCATACTATTGATCAGATAAAGATTTCAATGGTACCAATGTGAATCGGATATTGTCATCTTTGAATAATGGGTCACTTGAAACTTTTAAAACTGTTTTAACAATTTGGATTGCATGCAGGAAACTAGGAAAATATTATCAGGAAATGACAGGGGTTTTTCATACAGTGCACATTTTATATAATTCTTTACATGAAGATAGGGATTGTTATTTTAAGCATTATCATTGTATAAATATATATTTATATTTATATCTTTTTCCCGAGTTACAATCCCCTGTGGCGTGTTCGCGTCAGGAACCACCTCCGAATGCTCATCATTTGTTACCGAATTCAGAATGAAATGCATACATAAAAACGTTAAAGACTTTCTGTGGAAGTCCGTAGCATGGTAAAATAGGTACATTTTGATCAAGGTACTAATGCAAGGAATGCGTACATATTGAAACCAGTTCTCTGTGGTCGGAATTTGTATACAAGAATAGATGCATATCAGAGTTCGTCTAGTATCCGAGGAAGATAAAAGCATTTAATTTTGATAATTTTGAAAATTCACATAATAGTTTTCTATGACCAGAACATTTCAATGATTATTTTTGTCAAAATTGATTCCAAAAAAAAGAGTTTTTTATGTCCAATTCTTTAAAAGGTTTAAATACCCCTCCTTAAACAACCCAAAAGTGAATATTTGCAAATTATCTTTTTTCCATCTCATAATCTGAGTTCTTTTCCCTTATGTCCATTTGACAGCCCAAATTTTTATTTTGAATAATCTTTTTTATTTGTCTATCTTCTTGTGATTTTTTACATTTTTTAATTTTTTTAATCAATTTTGATGGTTATTATATCGTTAGAACTGACGAGGGTCAACCCAGACCGAAATATATTTTCAAAAAATGTGGAACTAACATCTACTTTTTTACTCTACAGAGGTTTGGTCCATCACCATCACAGAGTTTTTAAATTGATTCCATGTCAGGCTGTGACATCCGTCTTGGTTTTACCTTTTCGCCCAATGACAGTACACTGCAGTACAAAAACTGCGTACACCTCTGACATAACCTTCCTTGCATTAGTACCTTGATTTTGATACAGTTTTTAATAATCATTTTTCAGGAGATATCCCCTGTTTGTCTACCAACTGCTAACAGTCTAGGTATGTATGATCAGTAATCACATTGTACAAACTAGACCTAAATAATTCACATCTATTACAAAAGTCAATCAGTCCAAATACTCTTTAGTCTTTAAACTAAAGCAAAAACATAAAATGTTCACAGCTTTAAAATTCTAAATTCCAGTGACCAGATACTTAATGAAGCAATAGTCTACGGGTTTAATTATGTTGCAAGTAAATCTGTAATGGTTTAGAAAGGGTTAGTTCAGGCTCCAAATGTGTAGGCTTAAAATCGTTTTATTTTCTTTTTCCACTCATGGTAACAAACTTTAAATGATTATTCAATAAAAGTCACAAATAATTTGTATGATTTGTATATTTATTTGATTTTAAGGGACTCAGTATGAAAATGTTGATGCTATTGTTTCTGGTTGGGGTACTACGAGTTCTGGCTATGGGGGAATTCAATCATCAACACTTTTAGATGTGACGGTTCGTAAATTCTTTTATATGTAATGGTAATGGTAAATCCTTTCATATGCAATAATATGAAAATCCTTTTATATGCAATGTTGTGTAAATCCTTTTATATGCAATGGTATGTAAATCCTTTTATATGCAATGGTGTAAATCCTTTTATATGAATTATGGCATGTAAATTATTTTATATGCAATTGTATGTAAATCATTTTATATGCAATGGTATGTAAATCATTTTATATGCAATGGTACGTAAATCCTTTTATATGCAATGGTATGTAAATCCTTTTATATGCAATGGTATGTAAATCCTTTTATATGCAATGTTATGTAAATCCTTTTATATGAATTATGGCATGTAAATTCTTGTATATGCAATTGTAGGTAAATCTTTTATATGTAATGGTGTGTAAAGATTCTTTTATATGCAATGGTATGTAAATCCTTTTATATGCAATGGTGTAAATCCTTTTATATGAATTATGGCATGTAAATTATTTTATATGCAATTGTATGTAAATCATTTTATATGCAATGGTATTTAAATCCTTTTATATGCAATGGTATGTAAATCCTTTTATATGCAATGGTGTAAATCCTTTTATATGAATTATGGCATGTAAATTCTTTTATATGCAATGGTATGTAAATCATTTTATATGCAATGGTACGTAAATCCTTTTATATGCAATGGTATTTAGGATAATTATGGATTTATTTAAATGTCTTTAAACCTTAAACGCTCGAAACTTGATCTTTTTGCAGTAAAGGTTGCCACCAGTGCAAGTGTCCAAAGAGATTTTTTAATAGTTAATTTTACTGTATCTAAGTTGAACTTGAATAACACTTGACTTTACCACAGGGTTTCCAGTGGAAGCAAACTAAGGCGCAAAATTGTGCAATTCCACGCAAATTCACTTTTGCATCAAGCAAACTTTTGTGCAGAATTTCACATTATTGCACAAAAGTTTGTTTTGTGGAAGCAAGCGCATACAAACGGCAATTTTGCGCAAACACTGCAACAAAATTCAAAAAACTTTTTACTTTATTTGTGGAAATCATCTAGCATTGTAAATCTTATATCTACATTACATACAGGGTGTCCAAATAAACATGGGAATTCAGTGACAAATTCGATATCGTCTTTTTAAATAATTCTTTGATTTAGTATAGTGATACCTACTAAGAAAACTGTAATCTGTAAGAGTTTCGTCTGCTATGTTCACATTTTGTTTGTTTATGTTTTGACTGCATACGGTTGTACTTAGTAAAACAAGAAAATTGCAGAATACAAACAGAGTAAACTTGTCCGTCTTTACTGTTCATCTTGCGGAGACATCATAAAACCATCTTGACAGTCTTTTACCCTTTTCATAAAATAAATTCTATCAGACATAATAATATTATGGCTTTTGAAATTAGGTATTACAATGCTAATTCATAACAAAGACAATATCGAATTTGTCACTGAATTCATAAGTTAATAATTTCAGTTTTTTTAAAAAGAAGGTGATTTTAAACCATGAAGATAATTAAATATTAACATTATAATAATTTTATATGATAACCAATAGAAGACAATCGATTGATATGAAAATTTACTTTTTAATCAATCTTTCTAGACCCCCCCATTTTCAAAATAAACTTGTCAAAAAATAAATGTTTATGACCAAAATATAACATATTTGTGTTTTTTTTCCTGAATTCAGTTCTAGCCGGAATTTGCGTCAATTTTTTCCTCGCAATTTGTGCAATTTTTTTTTTATACTTTGGGAATTTTTTTCAGCAACGTTTGCGTCGAATTTGCACATTTTTTTGCGGAATGTTTGCTGTGAATTTGACCATTAATTTGCATGATGGAAACCTTACTTTACTGTGCAGGTGACAACTATGAACAATAGCCAGTGTAAAACTAGTTACGAGAAGTTTACGATTACTGATAATATGATCTGTGCTGCAGCTACCGGGAAAGATGCATGTAAAGGAGATTCTGGAGGTAAGGGATACATGCTGAACTTTTGAGGTTTTCCCTTTTGTTCATGTAATGGCATTTTTTGGATAAGTTTTGCTTTCAAGTTTGTCTTTTTTTGAACAATATTTTTTTCTGTTTGCATTTTATAATTTTAATATAATTAATTCTATGCAAAAAAAAAGTAATCAAAGTAGTCCAACTGTGATATAATTTTTATTCAAAATATTATACATTTGGAAGCAAACATGTTGGAAACATAAACAATTGTCTACATCAATAGCCAAAATAATGGCAGAACGGACATTTTAGCATCTTATTACAAAAAACACGCGTAGCATAGACTTAATGTGGTCTTGCTTTATAAACCAGTGCCGATCAGGGTTTGCAAAACTCTTGCATGGTAATTTGGTGGACTGGTCTGGTTTGCATACTATAGTCTGTATCTCTGTGTAACTTGCTTTTTACTTAAAAAAAAACAATTAGTGGTATACTTTAACTATGATGTTATGAAGGGGGGATTAAACATAATAGATAATTACCTAAATTATTCCTTTTCCCTTTTCATTCACTTAGATAATTTCAACATATGCATGAATATTTTTATTATGAGATGATTGTTTATACAACCTAAAGGCAACAAATCATTTTACTTTAATACATAAACTGTTACCATGTTCCAATCCCATTATTATTATTTCAAATGGAATTCTAAAAGATTGAAATGTACATATAAACCAAGAATTTAAATTTTTCAACTTATTTTCAGGCCCACTGATTAGGAAAGAGAGTAATGCTGCATATACTTTGATAGGTAAAGGCACGCTAAAGGCCTGTTTTGATAAATAATCAAAAATATCTTAGTTATACAAACTTTTTGTTTAGGAATTGTATCATGGGGATTGGAATGCGCTCAGGTAAATATTAAGAATTGGCATCAAGGAGGACACGAATCATAAATCCTAAAAAAGCTGATAAGTTAAAAATTGAATTGAAAAGGCAGTTCGGGCGACTGTATGAATTGAAATTTTAGTTGAGTTCATGGTCCAAATTTTAAAAGTAAGCTCATATTTCAAAAATTTAGAAATTTCTTAAATTTAACTTTGACTTCAATGGTTCTAGTAAAAGTAAAAAGTAAAAAATTATTTATTAATGAAATATAACAAAAACATACAAAAAAAATGTGTTTCAGGAGAAAATATTTAAAAACCTCTAAAAGTAGAGGTTGTGGGAATATTTCCCCCCAATTCTAAAAAATATAAAAATATAAATTATAGGAAAAGGAAAGGAAAGGATAAGGAAAGTTACATATTTATTGTTTACACTATATTTTACATAAAAATTAGTGGTGGATTGTTAGTATTTTTCGACGATGAAC